CAAGTATACTCCCGATGGCAAGGTGACGGATCCCGACGATCCACCGGAGAACCCTGGCCCAGGACCTAACCCCGTTCCAGAACCCGAGGCCGTACCAGAACCCGAGCTCGAGCCTGAGGAGGAGCCTATAGAGCCCGAGCCCGAAGAGGAGCCTATGGTGTCCGAGCACGAGGACGAACCGATCGAGATCAACTCCGATTCTGAGTCGGAGTCTTCAGGGTCCGATTCGGATTGGGCACCGTAAGAGGATTTGGGTGCTAGGGCGAAGAATCATCTTTTTGGTAGGGCCCTTTTTGTGTATTCCGTAGTCTACCCGGCCACCTGTTCCTTTTTTATGACAAAGGTGGATACTAACCCTAGAAGCTTAATGTATGAATTTTATGGTCTCAAGCTAATGTTATGGGTTTATTGATTTTCTTCAAGTACTACCCTGTTGTCATTTTTATTGTTTGGGATGTTTAATTTCCGCTTCCGCTTGCGTTTGTCTTCGCATGTTTCGTTTGGGTCGGCGACGCGTCCTGCGACGTCGCGTTCAATACGACCGTCGAAGGGGTGTCGCGAGCCCGTCGGGGTTCGGGGCGTGACACGGCAAGATCAATTCCATATAGAATCCGAATCCGAGGAGCAAGACCAAATTTAAAACAAATTGAAGAAGGAGAGATACTAATCATCTAGATGCCATCAAATAACTGTGACATTACGGATGATGAATCTCCAAATAAATTGATGGGAAAACACCACCAAAAACCCCAAACTATGCCACTTGTGACAAATTTACCCTGACCTTTTTTTTGACACGAAAAACCTCAAACTATGCCACTTGTGACATATTTACCCCATAATACATTTGTCCAAGGGCATTTTCGTCTTTCTCTTTTTTATATTTTTTTTTCCTTTTTTTTTTCTTTCTTCTTTTCCCCTCCGCCATGGCCAGGGGAGAGAAGCCGGTGAGGGTGACCCTCTCCCGCCCAGGCGAGGGCGACCCTCGCTCGACCTCAGCGAGGGTCGCCCTCGTCGGATCTGGCTAGGGCAGCCCTCGCCTGCCCTCGCCCAACACCGGCAAGGATCGCCCTCGCCTGAGTCGGGCTCGGGCTGCCCTCGCCGGCTTCCCTCCGCCGGCCACGGTGGAGGGGAAGAGAATAAAGAAAAAAAAAGGAAAAAAATAGAATAAAGAGAAAGACAAAAATGCTCTTGGACAAATGTATTGTGGGGTAAATGTGTCACAAGTGGCATAGTTTAGGATTTTTCGTGTCACAAAAAAAAATTTATGATAAATTTGTCACAAGTGGCATAGTTTGGGGTTTTTGGTAGTGTTTTCCCTAAATTGATTGAAGCAAATGTTAAGGTCATAGATGTAGATGGGATGATTATTACAGTTGGAGATATTACCCGCCACTTTCATTAAATATGCCCCAAAGCATTCTCTCTCAAAGTGCTCATCAATTGTCAAAATATGTTTGATATATCATCAGCTTTTTAGCATGCCTTGAAGATTTTTATTAGTATGAAACTAATGTATTTTCTTGTTTGTTAGAGAGGCCGTCCTAGAATTTTTTTAGAATTAAGTTCCTTCAACAAGGATAATTGTGGCAAATTAATTACTTTCAATCTTGGAGATGAAGTCATGACAGATTCAAAGACAAATCTTCAACAACCTAGGGAGTTTGATACGAGAGCATTAGGCTTTATTGATCAATTATCAAGCTCAACTTCAAACTCGTCAATTGATCCTTATTCCAACGAGCAAAGATCGATTTCGGCTACATTTTGAATCATAGGTTCATATTGAAGATGTTGATTGCAAGAGAGTTGATGAACATATGAGAATTCCATTGCGTGAGTGAATAATTATCCAATGTTTATCTAACGTCGTTGGTGGTAAATCAAACAATTCTTTATCGTTAACCGGTGGAGCAATCATTTACGCCTTGGTGGGGAGCTGCTATTATTTTGATTCTTTATCCTTTGCTAGTGGGTTGTGCATTTACGCTTTTGGTGGTGAACCTCCCATATCTTTTGTGCTTTACACATCATTCCATTATCACTCAAACGCACATGTCCATACACTTAACCAAGCAAATCCCATTTCCGGAATCGCTTGTCTCACGCACGCATTATCTATGAATGCTTAATTGGGTCTTATTTTACATTTACATGTATGTTCATGTGCTTTTTTGACGAGGGGTTTTTTATTAGTGTGTCAACGCACTATACAGATCGATCTAGCTCATGCCATTTTGAACTGAAAGACAGTGCAAATAAAGTAGGATCTTGAGGAAATAGTGTTGCGTAATATTATGAATCCCACCGATTATATTAGAGTTAATACCATAAAAAAAATCCCAAAATGATACACTAGTGCAACATTTACCCAAACTAATTTTTGAGTCACAAAAACGTCAACTTGTTACACCCTTAGCATATTTATTCTAAACTAATTTTTGTGTCACAAAAAATCTTATGCCGGTGCATTTGTGCCGCATTTACCCAAAATTGTTTTCTTGTTACAAAAATCTCAAAGATTGGGATCAACGTGGCATAAATGTACCAATTTGGGATAAATCTAGCACGGGTGTGCCGGTTTGAGATTTTTTGTGACATTAAAATTAATTTGGGGTAAATATGATGCAAAAAATAATTTGGGATAAATGTGATCCGAGTATATCAACTTGGGTTTTTTTATGGTATTAACCTTTTATATTATCCATGTTCTTTCCTTTTTTTCTATATCTAATCTCTAAAAAGCAATGGACTTCGGTTGTTGTATTAAATTTGCAGCAATATGACTCACATGTGCATTTTTCTAAAGGTTCTCAATTTTTTTAGGCAAAAGTACACCAGAAGTGTCATAACTTGTGTACGGCGATCACTTTGGTGCCATAACTTTTTTTCGGATCACTTTGGTGCCAAGTCGAAGGAAAAGAGATCACTTTAGTGCCAATTTGGTCGGAAATCCGACGTGGCATTTTTTATTAAGTTTTGACGCCGACGTGGCTCGCCGGAGGCTGAGTCAGCGTGTACAGTCAGCATTTTTTATTTTAAATAATTTTTTCCAGCATGTACAGTCAGCATTTTTAATTTTAAATATTTTTTTCCTTTTTTTTTCCTCTTCTTTCCTTTTTCTTTTCTTTTCTTTTTTTTTCTTTTCCCTCGCGGCCGGCCACCTACGGCGAAGCCCGGAAGAAGGGCCGGGTGAGGCGGCCTTGCCCATGGCCGGCGAGGGGCGCCTCGCCGGCGACAGTGCGAGGCCGCCCTCGCCGGCCCAGGCGAGGCCGTCCCTCGCCGGATCTAGCGAGGGCGACCCTCGTCGGCGTCGGGTGAGGGAAGCCCTCGCCTGGGCAGGCGAGGTCGCCCTCGCCGGATCTCGGGCGAGGGCGAGCCTCACCGGCGCCGGGCGAGGGAAGCCCTCGCCGGGCGGGCGAGGGTCGCCCTCGCCCGGGAGTCGTGCCCGGGCGACCCTAGCCCGACGCCGGCGAGGGTCGCCCGCTGATCCGGCAAGGGCGACCCTTGCCCGCCCTGTGCAAGGGCTTCCCTCGCCCAACGCCGGCGAGGGTCGCCCTCGCCAGATCCGGCGAGGGGCGGCCTCACTTGGGCCGGCGAGGGGCGGCCTCGCCTGTCGCCGGCGAGGCCCACCCTCGCCGGTCATGGGCAAGGCCGCCCTCACCTGGGCTTCGCCGGTGGCAGGCCGGCGAAGGGAGAAAAGAAAAAAAAGAAAAGAAAAGGAAAAGGAAAGAAGAAGAAAAAAAAAGGAAAAAAATATTTAAAATTAAAAATGCTGACTGTACACGCTGAGTCAGCTTCCGGCGAGCCACGTCAGTGTCAAAAATTAATAAAAAATGCCAAGTCGGATTTCCGGCCAAATTGGCACTAAAGTGATCTCTTTTCCTCCGACTTGGCACCAAAGTGATCCGAAAAAAAGTTATGGCACCAAAGTGATCGCCGTACACAAGTTATGGTACTTCTGGTGTACTTTTGCCAATTTTTTTATGTTATGATCGTGTCGAAGTTGACTTACATGAGTAAATATGATTTCGTATGTTGCTTGACAAGAAACGCAATTTCAAGCAGTCTTCCTTGGAAGAACAAGGTGTTGAACCAGAGTTCGATCTAAAGAAAACCGTGCACAACTTGCCATTCATGTTGTAGACTTTTCTTTTCTTCGTTCCTGTCTTGTTTTATCAATAACGTGATGGGCTAATGGTTTCCCAATAGTATATACTATATATGAGATTATTTGCTCAGCGATGCAAAGATTAAGAAACTCTTCTATATATTCTTTGGCGTAATTCCCTAAATAACTTCTAACTTTAGATCCAATTTCAATTCTATTCCAAACTTTTTTGTCTTGAAAAAAAATCACCAATTTCCACTCTAGTCTCAAATTTGTCCACTCGTCCAAAAATCACAACTAGTTTCTTCAAAATTATCAATATTATGGCTGGTTGGAGGTTTATTATTAGAACCTGCATCTTCACCAACATCCTTGCCTTTGTATGGTACAACAACAGTCTACTGATGGTTAATAATTTTGAAGAAACTAATGGCAATTTTTGGACGCGTGGCAAATTTGATATTAGACCTAAAGTTTGGGATTTTTTTGAAGATTAAGACACACACATAGGATAATGACGCAAATGGTCATTGAAATTTAGCCAAATGTAGCAATATGGTCTCTGAACTTTTAATTTGTTCAATGTAATGGTTCAACATTAAGCATTTTCATATAGTTCGGGGACTAAATTAAACATGTACCAAAAGTCCAGGGATCGCATTGAACATATTAAAAGTTCAGGAACCATATTAAACAAATATAAAGTTAAGGGATCAAATTGTACGTAAAGTCAAAATTTATGGACCATTTGTGTCATTATATAGATACACGGGCGACCATGGACTGCAATTTGCGACAAATTCCGGGCGCGCAGCTACAGTTTGGGACAACTGCAGGGACGAAATTGAAAATCTGCTTTCGTAATTCAAAACCCGCGGCTCAGGAGCTCTCCATGCCGTCATCTCCCACCACATGCCCGAGACCAAAACCCTCGCTGCCGCCGCCGCCTCAATCGCCATAAACCCTAAGCTACTCGCCCTCACGCCTCGCCAAGTTTCTCTCGCGAAGAAGGAGACGCAGCGAACGGCGGCGGCGGCGGCGGCGGCTGCATCCCCTATGGAGACCAAGACCCTCCTCCTGCTCTCCATAGCTCGGTATCTGCAGAGCAATGGGTTGTCCAAGACTCTCAAGAAGTTCCGCTCCGAAGCCCAGCTCGAGGTACGCGTTTCTCGTGCGATAGTCTCTTCCGGCAAGGACGCTTCTTTCGCCAATTCTCAGATTTGCTGCGCCACTTGCAAGCTGTTGTGAGAGTCTTGTTTCGGTCGCTGGTTTCGTGAATTGGGCATTTCTTGTGGTGGGTTGTTTGATAGCGGGCGCATTGATTTTGTGGTTGTGGATGTGAGGGGTTGGCGTTACGAGTGTGAATTCATCCAGTTTTGACTAATTTAGTTAAAAAAAGGCTCGATTTTGTAGTTTATAGGATCGATATCGTGGTGGGAGCAAGAGAATGTCGGCATTCCCCTCGTATAAATTTAAACCAACAAAAGAAATACGACGCGGTGTTTGAATCTTTTTAGTGTCCACTTTGTGTATCACTAGCTCTACTTTGATGGGATGGCATCCATTCTAAAGAGTGGTCATCGGAGGTTGTTTGGTTGCTATTTCTTTAGGCCAAGTTGGCGATTTTATACATTTTAAGGTTCCAATTCGCTTTCTGCGAGAGCTAAACGTTGAGCTGCAGAGGATATATGTGTCGAAGGTCGGACTCTTGGTCCCCAGAAGGGATCAACAATAACAATTTTGCCAAGAGGATCTTGATATTTCCTCTTAGAGAAACAAAAGTATCTGAAGACTTTGTCAGCTACTGACTTTCTAAATTGTGACTGTTTATGATGTGAATTCAATTTATGTCTGACTCATTAAAAGCACAAGAGGAAACAATAACGCTCAGCATATCTTTACAAAGAAGGCCCTGTTGAGTGATGTACATTCCTTCTCTATGAGTCGTCAATGTTCAGAAGCTTCCGAAGCAAGCAACTCTTGATGAAAATGTTGCTTTCTGCTCTCCTTAGTCATCTGGAAGGCACATCATCATGTGCATTGCTCTGTTTCATTCGCTCTATGTTTATTATGCTTGCCATTATTGATCTTTGTTATGCTTCTGAATTAACATTATTGAAATATATATTTAAGAAAGAAATAGTTCCGGTGTCGAATGACCTTTGCTATCTCTAAGGTTGCTTTCAGGTTTAAATTTCTTGATTCTGCGTCTTGGTCTATTGCTGCCGTGGTAATGATCTTTTAGGCCATAAAGTGCTCTAATTTTCCTTTCTGATCTTTTTACTTTTTTACTCATGCAGGAAGTTAGTTTTAAGGGTTCGACATTGGATTTGGAGGAAATATGTCTCAACTACTTGAAAACAGCGTAGGGGAATCTTCTTTTATTCCATGATATTAATGTTGTATGCAGAAGTTTGTTCTCATTGATGATTGTCAAAGATATAGTTTTCTCTAGCTGGGAAATAATTTGGGTGGCACATGTTTTTGTGCCAGCTTAAATGTGCTAAATGCATTCCCTTCGGAGAAGATATAAGTTCTTCTGTGCGAACATTGGGTTGATACTTTGTTAAAGTTGCCTACCTCTACTTGATGGTCGCAAGTTTGGGCAACAAATTGCTTTGTAGCTTGTCTGAATTTCATATGTTTGTATCCTGTATGTGATGGACAATGCGAGACGAATGCTTCAAGCTATGAAAAGCTCTCTTTATAAGTAATTTCTTTTGCTTCGTCATAGGGTCATAGAGCTCATAACATCATAGTGAGAATAAGAGTCGGCCTGGGAGTGTTCCAGCCTTACCTTCTCCACACCTATTGCCTATTTGTGCGGATCTAATGGAGTTCAATCTCTTTGAATCTTATATGGAAAAATGCCATGTCTTGTATTTGCCCTTCAAATTGGGGTGTTCTTGTCAATTCCGTGCCAGGGTTCTCTTTCATTCTTAATTTTTTCAACGTTCTGTGCAGTGATCATGCTGCGACGAAGAATGGCCTAGAGAAAGGTATGCTAACTTTGAGCCACAAGGTGTCTGTGTAATTTCGTGCCAGTTGGGCTCTTGAATACATCTCTCTCTCTCTCTCTCTCTCTCTCTCTCTCTCTCTCTCTCTCTCTCTCTCTCTCTCTCTCTCTCTCTCTCTCTCTCTCTCTCTCTCTCTCCCCATATGCGCACAAGGGTGTGTTTTGTGCAGTAGCTTCTGTATGGATATTTATATGTTATGAGCTGTGTTGTTACATGGTTAAATATACATGCTCAGGTGGCACACACATGATTGGTGAAGGAGACTCGGGTCCCTTGCCGGAAGTTCTTGATAAGAAAAAGAAGAAGAGAAGTGGCGAGAGCAATGTTGATACTGCAAATGGTGCAGTAGATGAAAATGTAAAAGGCAAAGAAAAGAAGAAAGGCAAAAAGAATTCTGATTTTCCGGGTAAAGACAGTAAAACGGCGAGCTTGAAAGAGCTAGAAGAGTCTCCTACGGATGTGACTTGTGGATTGCAGTCAGATGAGATTACTGTGAAGGGAAAGGATAAACGAAGTAAGAAAAGAGAAATGGTTTCCGAATCTCTTGTTCCTCAAGATTTAGCTTCTTTTGAGGGAAATGACATTGTTTCCTCCAAAGATGTGAAGAAATCTAAAAATAAGAAAGAGAAATCTAAGCATAAATCAGATAATGATGAGCAGCACACTGCAAAGGACAAACGAGATGATGTTAAAACAAAAGCAGAGAATGCTGTTGGGGTATCCTCTAAGGACGATGATACTAAGACTTTGGATGAGGGCATCAAGTCGAAAAAAGGTTCCAAGAAAAGAAAAAGGCCTGAGTCTGAAGAAAATGAATGTAGGCCTGTTGATCAGGATACACTTGATGAACCTAAACGGAGAAAGAGTGGTGATGTTACGGATGACAAGGTTGACAGGCAACTTGCAAAATCAAATGCATCAGGAATCAGTAAAGGAGCTAACGACACGGGAAGTAATGGACAAAATGGTCGATGCAATCTTACTGACAAGACTCCTATTAAGCACTTTGATGATCCAGACAATGTCAAAGAGAATGATGGAGAAGAATCTGCTAAGAGGAAGAACATGAAAAAGCAACGTGATGGCTCTGCAGAGGTCTGATTTGAGATGCATCCTGATTTCTGTATGAAAATTATTTCATACTTCATATTGATATCCATGTGCTTTACTCATGCTAGAATTGCTCCTCTGGAAAGCATATTTGTGGCATCACTGTCCTCATTGGAAGTATATCCAGGATAGAGCCCCCCTTCTTCCTTTTTTGTCTATGTATATTTGAAGATGTGTTTTAGTATACACCTTAACCAATCATAGATTAAGGAGTTGCTGTAACCAATGTCGTGGCCCTATGATCTCCCTTAGTGTGCATTTTTTTTTAGTGTTGACCCATGCATAAATGTATGTATAGGCATAAAACATGTCATCCATGATCTCTCCATGTGTCCATCGACGTGGTTTTATGTAGCTTAATGGTGTGATTCCTGTTCAAGCATATATTGAGGGGATGGTTGCACTGCAGGCAGATGGTTTAATAATAATTTAAATTTTCTTATGCTAAAATGCTTCCACATTGAATCTTTGTCATTGGTGGAGTCCAGTTTAACTAAATTATCTTACATATGAAGATGGAGCCTTCGGACTCTAATAGTCTAGCTCAAATGAAGTTCAGTTAATGGAATTTCATTATGAACACCAAGGGCTACTGCTGACTAATATGGAAACTACCTTTCCAATTATAGAAGTGTGAAACCTTGAACATTTTTTTCCACTATAGCGTGACAGATTCATACATACAGCTGATCCCACTTAGTGGGTAAGACTTGTTGTTGAGGTCTTTGAGGTATTTGGGTCCTAGAAACATTTTGTTTCTCCAAAGGTAATAAAATTTGCTTGGCCAGGGAAACATGACTGAATCCCTAGGTGAGTCTCTATATCATTGAATATATATTTGTTAATTGAGCTTTCTCAACTCAATTATATGGGCTTTGTTTTTTCTCCTAGGATGATATTTTTGGAGGTTAAATAGACTCTTTTTTTTTTTTTTGAGTATCACCATTTTGAACTTGTATAGATGTAATTTCTTGACTGAAAGACTTCCTTAGTCCTTCTCTGTGAATGAAATTTGTTGAATTGGTTAATCTTTCAGCCTACAACAGCAAAGGCGTTTCAAAGGATAAAAGTTGATGAAGTAATAATTGCTGATGATAGACTTAAGGACAACTCCTACTGGGCTAAGGTGATTTTCTGTTGTTTTATTAACCTATTATATTTCAATATCCTCTACTGCTTGTAAGCTCGATCTCTTAATGCGTGCCGGTTTCTCAACCATATGAAATACTTTCCCCAGAATGGTGCAGAAACTGGCTATGGTGCAAAAGCACAGGAAGTTCTTGGGCAAGTTAGAGGAAGGTACGTCACAAGTTGACTATAAGGATGCTAGTTTGCTACCTTCCCAACTAATCTCTGGAAGAATGTCTATTTAGTGATTATTGAAGAAGCCTGACTGGTTGGAAATTGCAATTTCATTCCCCTTCATGAGAATAATGTCAAAATGAATGTTTAATCTTTCTCTTTTTCTTGAACCAAGGAAACTTTTACATATAGCAATTTTTGTCAAATTTCTTTTGCATTTTCATTATACTTCGAATTGAGATTGATTAACTATTAATGTTTGTCATAAATTCACATGCTTTTCTAATTTTGTATCGCAGAGACTAAAATTATGGAAACCTAGCTAAAGATTGCTTTGCTTTGTATGTATTTACCAAATTTTGTATGTACTTTATTTTTCTATACCCCTTACATATTTAATTTGTAGAAATAACAACACCTAATGATACTATGAATTTTGAATAGATGAGCATTAAATGCTTTAGTGGGAGAAGTAAGAGTGACTAGCGAAAAAAAGTTAGGCACAGCTCTTTTGAGATTATAATCATGCGAGACAATCACATGATTGAATCGCTCAATTATATGTAAATTCTCCTTTTTGGCCAGCTCCAAGCGACTCTGTACTTTTTCAATAAGATCAAAATAGAGTCCTTAGTACCTACCGGGGAGGGTGCATCCTCCAAGATACAATCAATGCATTTTTTCCCTCTCCCAGACAAACGAGGAGCCAAGTGCACAAAGCATCATTTGTTTATTTTTTGGGCTTCTTTCGGCTTCTACTTATTTTTTGTTTTCCTGGCTTTCTTGTTATAGTTTCGTCTTTGACAATTGATGTGATTTTTCCCTCTTTTCTGGGTATTTATTTCTCTATGAATGTTTCATACTTTCAATGAGGAAGTAAATTCCTGAACTAATTGATTGTGTCTATGATGTGTACTTCTCTCGAGATTTACCATGTTCTGTATATTTTTTCCTTTTCTGATAGATATATCCTGTTCCATTTCTTCCCTCATAGTGGGAGAATGATATACGGGCATAATATTCTTTTAGTCTCATAAGTCTTTTTTTCTTTAATTGGTCTTTCTTAGGGCATAACGATCAATAAGTATTTGTGTGATAGTCTCATAAACTCCTGAATTAATTGATCTTTCCTATGATGTGTGCTTTTCTCGACATTTACCATGTTGTTCTGTATTTTCTTCTTTTCTGATAGATACATCTTCTTCCATTTCTTCCCTAGTAGTGGGATAATGATATACAGGCATAATATTTTTATTGTATCATAAGTCTTTTTTTTCTTTAATTAGTCTTTCTTATGGCATGACGATTAATTAGTATTTGTGTGATAGTCATGTGACTTTTATTGAAGTTGGAGGGTTGAGATTAGAAGTTAGTTAAGTCTAATCAAAAGTTGAGATCTAGCAACTTCTGAAATCCTGTAAGTCCTTATGTCACTTAAGTCACTTTATCATCAGTTTCTCTCCTCAACAAAAGAGTGCTGGTATTTTCGACTTCTCGAATATATACTTTTTGTTCAAGCTTTAACTCTCAATTCTTGCCTTTTTTTTTTCTTTTGCTAATCTTTTACTTCTTTAACTTCACTTGACGTAGTTGAAAATCCAAAAAATGGTTCAAATTTATATTCTAGAGTTCAGAAAATCCAATAATCTTTATTGAAAGAAGAAAAGGGGTGATAAATGGAATTAGAAGACCTATTTATATTAGGGTTATAGAGTAACAAGATCTCAACCCTTGATTAGGCACAAATAACTTCTTATCTCGGTCATCCTGACTCATGTAAAAGTCACATATGTTTCACCTGACGTCATGTCAATACCAATAACGTAAGAAGAGACTAATCAATGAAGAATACTTAAAATACTGAAATTCACCCCGAGTAGGAATGAATGAAGCTCAGATTTGAAGACTTCGACTACTTTAGTATGTTTCTAAATTTGTTTTCTTCATATGTTCTTTAAAAATTCATATACTTCTGGTATCTGTTATTCCAACCTTCTCACTGGAAACAACTATATTTTTTTTTTTTTGCTGTGATACCACTTAGTTGGAGAAGTAAAAAGCAGTAAAAAGAAGAGCTAAAATAAGGGGTAGATTGAGTAGAATCGAAGCTGGAACTGGAATTTGATATTCTAGAGTTTGGAGAAACCAGTAATGTTTATTATAAAGAATGATTAATGACAAAGTGACTTGATTGATGACTAATCCTTTCTATACTTAAGGTTAAGACGTAGCACAATCTCAATACTCAACCTTTGATCAGACACAAATGACTCCTAATCTCAGTCATCCATTTAATAGGTCACTTATTAAATGACCAGCCTAACAACATAGAAAAGACTAATTCTGCATCAGATAATTTTCAAGGAGTAATTGCTATCACCTATAGTACCGCTGGAAATGTGTGGGTATCAAGTCCTCTCCGGGCATTGTCCTTAGTCTTTGTCGGGTTGGATTATGCTTCTCTTGTTGAATCTTGGGGCCTGCTTAGTTTGTGGAAAATTTTCAGAATCTTATTTCAGTTTTCATTCAAAATATAAAAAGCCCCAGAAAACGCGTTTGGTCAGAACATGAAATTTATTCCAAATGAAAAATGCTGAAAAATGACGGTTACTGCCCTATTTCACAATTTGTCTGTCAAGCTTCACCCAAGTCAACCCTGTTGGGATGAAAATCCGAGATGAGTTGTGGTAGCTGTGAAATTCCTATCTAGTAATTATAAATTCTTTTGTCAATTTGAATGGTCCTTCTTCATTTTAGAGTAAAATCATAGATGAGTCCAACCAACTGTGTAAGAACTGTTACAGCCGTATGATTGGATTTCTACAATTTTCCAAAGGTATACTTCTGTAACATATCGAGAGAAAGAATACATATGCTTGGTACTTGTATTATATCTATCAAGTGAGCTTAACAATTATAACAACTTACTATAGACTTTGGCAATTCCTTTGTCTCACACACTCTCTCTCTCTCTCCCTCTCTCTCTGTGTGGCAGGGATTTTCGGCATGAAAAGACAAAGAAGAAGCGTGGAACTTACAGAGGAGGACAAATTGATCAGCAGTCTTACTCAGTGAAGTTTAATTATTCCGATGAAGAGTAAACAAAGGGTCTTTGGTTGAATTTATCGAGGCCCGATTGATTCTGAGATCCCACCGTATGAAATTAAATTTATGAGGATCAGCAAACCGAGGAGTTCTCTGTGGACAGCAAGCTTCTGCAGGAAAATCAATTTTGTTGTGTTCTATTTTTGGCCTTAGTTGACTGCTGTACCGGTTATTTTTTACAAATGCCTCATCAGATGGTTGTATTGTACCCGGATGTGTATACATTCGATTGTATTCGCCAGTCTGCTTCTTCGTCTTTTTCATTTGTTGTCTTCGGAAACGGTTTCTTTTGTTCCATTTAATCCTTGTATCGTCAAATACATCCTTGAAGAATAATGATATGCATGTGGTCGGCCTAGGTATGATCGTGCCCCGGGCTAGATCAATCCTTGGGCACTGTCAAGGCCCCAGTATCGACCTTGTATCGGTCGAATGCATCATCCTTTTGGTGCAAAGCTGAGGAGGCTGTACTTGGGAGTAGGGAAGGGCTAGTGGAAGTCTTGGTCGTTCCTTCCTCGAGAAGCAAAGGTGCTGAAGTTTTTTCAAGGTAATGTGGGACCCGCGTGGTCTATTTTGGACCTTGCCAGACGTTTAGGGGCGGGCATCGGTACTTGCTGCCCCACAGCCCCATTTCCACCGGGGAGTTTTAATCTAAGCTTGGTCGTCAAGGTCGCTTCATTCTATCGACATGTCTCGAAAACTTCCTCCTGTTGTTGGTGGGTAACTGTAATCTGGCTGCCGCTAGATCTTTCCTGAAGTAGCTGCACCTCGATGGACGCTGTCGGGCAACACCGCTTGCCCCTGGCTCCGATGTCTCTGAGTATCTTGGTGAGGTAGTGCACTTGTTGAGAGTTCGCCGAGAGTATAATTCAACTTTGAAACCATTTGACGCAAAACATTAGGAGAAGGCATGAAAAGTGGGAAGTAAGTCCAAAAGCTTCGTGTGTGCACTTCGAGCGCTCTCAGCCCTTCATCTTATAAAGGGCACACACAGTTGGATTCATAGCAACATAACATGATCCAAACAGCTGGTTTAGCTTTTAGAATGCTCTCTTTGAATCGAGGCCAAATATGAAATGTCGTAAAGAACCTTTGAAAGGGTAGCTTTCTCTTTTCCGGTAAATGAAATGGCAATTTCCTCTGAGACATTCACCTTTGAACTCTTTCGGCTTTATATCAATTCAAGGTCCCTTTTAGTAGTTTGCTACGCTCGGTCAAGCGTCAAAAGCTAATTTAGAATATAACCTAAAACGACTCCTTATCTTGTTGTGTTTGCTACGCAGTGCGCTAGTGCAAAACTCCGTTCATCCTGGGAATTCGCATGCCATGTAAGGTACCATTACACTACTGTTCCCTCAACTTTTTGCCATAAATTGCACTTTAGTCCCAAATTTGCAAGCCACCGACGTAAAGAATAGGGTTTAATTTCATTTTTGTTCACCCAACTTTGCAATAAACTGTACTTTTGTCCCCAAACTTCATTTTCTGACATTCTTACATTCTAATTCAAACTATCATTGTTATGTTATTTTGAGGGTATGAATTCATGAAGTACATTATTATCGGGGCGTTTGACAGAATTTATCCCTATGAATTCACTTGATTTTGGAATTGAGTTCAATGGAAGGAATATGATAGCAAGAAACAATAGAGTTATTATTTTCTGAAGTCATTTGATCATATTAGATTAGTCACGTATAAAAAACTGTGAGACATAACATTAGATCCTGTAGAAAGTATAGGTCGTGATATATATTATGTTTTGTGACGGGTTTAATTCACAATGTTGTTGTTAAAATTACTTGTATAAACAATATTGTCATATCAAAGAAAAGGGGTTGATGACACTGCTTTTAAACTTTTACTGGTAATTCAATATGATCACTTAATATTGTTTGTTAAAATTAATATATCAACCTTCAGGAATTTACGCGCATTAGAAATCTGAGGTCACTCACCTCAACCACTATTGGCACCTAAATTGTTAATCGGTCGGTTAGAGAGACAGAGACCCGACACTGAGCTCCTCGACACTAGCAATGGTGATGGCTTGGCACAACAAGACTACATTGACAATGATGGCAGTGGCGATGACCGACGTCGAGTGAATTTCAAAAACTTCAAGAATTAAATTGAACAGCAAAAAGTTTGGAGATGAAATTGAAAAACGAGCCAAACTTCAAAAGCCAATGATTCCATTAACCCCAAAGAAAAACAATATGTATGCACACTTTCCCTCGATGTCTCCCGGCTCCTTTGAGGAGTGAATCCCTTTGGATGCTCCGGCCAGCCACGTTCATCGCTGAAGACTCGCCTACCCCAAAAACCCTAAAAGGGTGTAAAAGAAAAAAAAAACAATGACCAGGGTTTGCTGATTTCCAAGTTGGAATTTTTACTGAGTCTCTTGTAAGCGTGTTCCGTGGGGTCAAGATGTATTTTCCAGGAAGTTTCCTGGTCATAATTGATCTTAAAAAATCAAAAAAAAAGGACAAAGAAGATGACCAAATGGGAAATTGCCCAGAAATGAGGGAAAGAGGAATGAGTGGAGGGGGCTGAGTATTTAATGCCATCTTTGTATCTACTCCACTCTGTCTTAATGCCATCTTGGCTTCAGGAGAACATACATGGCCTTTGAACCTCGCTCTGCTTCATCCCACTCATCCTGAAGCCTCCACAGTCTCCTGGGAGACATTATCCTGCCCTTTTTTCTATCTCTCTCTCTCTCTCTCTCTACTTTTGCGACACAGTGGGGTCAGCTTGTTCTTGGTCCAGCGAAGGAATTCGATTGCACCAATCCTGTAAAAAGGTAAGCAAGGCTGTGGAAACTATTCTTTCGTGTGATGTTGTTGCGAGATCCATGTTATTGGATCTTGAAATCACGTAAAGTTATATAGCTTTAGGAGCAATTATGTTTCGTCAAATTCTCTTAATATAGTTCTAGTTGAACTTCTGGACAAAATTTTAACCAAAAATCATCTTATTAATAAAAGAAAATGCCGAGGAGATGTAAATTACCCATAAAATATAACAAAAAAAATTGATCCTACTTTGATATACAGCAAGGTGAAATCAGTCATTTTATTGTTCCATAGTCCAAGTCAAAGTCGTGATATTCCAACATTTTTGAGACTTTATATGTCCATCGATTGTCTCTCTTCTATCATCTTCAATGTCACTTTTGCTTTAAAACTGGGATGTGATTGATGAGGAGTTATGCTAAATATTCTCGACGGTGTATGCGCCTTGCATCTTCTTCCTTTTACTCTTTTTTTTTTCTTTTTTCTTTTTTCTTTTTGCCTTTAGATTGAAAAGCAAAAGGTAAACTCAAACTCTGACTATTTCACCATGGATCTTGCACCGATTTTATGACCTTGGCAAGTGATTTTTATTACGATTCTACCAACAGTAGATGTTAATACGAGATCCAATTGTATAGTGATTAAGTTTAAAATCGTAAAATGGCTTGATTTTAGGAAGCGAAAATCGATTTTAACACCATGAAGTTAAGAATCTCTCATTATTAGGGACTCAGGGGGTCAATCGCGCTTAAATGATTATAATATACGAAGTGATTCTTACTCTGAACTTTTTTGTGGGATACCTTTGTATTTTCACAAAGGCATAAGTGTACTAAAGTTCTAAAACTCGTTACCAAAGTGCAATATAGTTATGTAATTTTCATATTATGCAATCAAGTCCTGTAATTTGTCAAATTGATGCAATGAAATTTTTCCGTTAACTCCGTTTGATTCAGCTAACAAAAATAATTAATGTTTCTTTTTTATTACTGTCCAATTTCCTATGCGGCTCTTAATATTAACTCGAGCGTGAATCGACACCCAAAAAAGTAAAAAAAAAAAATTGGAAAGGACAAAACAAGTGGTGCCGTCCCTAGCTTCATCAGTGACGGCCAACGATCCTTGCGAGGGTATTGGCAACCCTCCCTAGTACTTGAGAGGGCCGACGACCCTCTCCCAGCTAAAATTCCACCAATGTTAATGGAGGAGAGGAGAGAGAACTACACGAGAAGCATGCTCAAATTCCACAACTATTTCAATGAGCGTGCTTGTAAAACTCAGGCTCGCCCCCATTGTCTGTGGTGGTTGGCCGAAGGAGGGAGGGCGATTTGAGTGCGATCGCGACTCGTGTTCACCACCGGTCAACGGTGGTTGCAGAGAGAGAGAGAGATAGGGAAAGGGTGGGGGAGGAAGGGAGGGAGAGTCTAGACAGAAGTTGTTGAATCCTTAACAGTAGTTGAGTAGTGATTCTCTTGTTCTCTTTCCTACAGAAAAAGTTTCGGCTGCATTCTACATGTGAATAATACTTAGGCCACATCAACAAGGGGGTGTGGTAGTTAATAGAGTGATTTGATTGAACAAATTGAGAAATTTAGAGGACGCGATTGTTAAAAAGAGTTAGAGAACTGATGCTCTATTTAAAACTTTTCCAAACAGTCGAAATATAAAATTTCCCGCCCTCAAATCTGTAATGGACATAAAACTAGTCTCGTATGGTTGGCGTAATTGACCGGGGCATTGGAAGATTTTCAGCATGAGGTCATCCATTCAAATCACCAGCTATGTGCAAATTTCTCTGGATCAGGGTCACTAGCATTGACCAAAAGTCTGGTATTAAGCCGATTTGTGAGGCTTACAGGGTGTTTCGTAGACTTTCAAGTAGTCGGGTCTCTATACCGTGTCCTAAATTATAAAAGAAATGGACATTAAACCAGAATAAGCTAGTTCACATACACCTAATATGTGTTTTCATACGAAAGTTTATACATATATTTTTCAGATTGTTTTATTGAATCGATTTGATTGCTCGCCTCGAGTCCCCACTTCGTAATCCTCTCTCTCCCTCTCTTTGAAACTCATTGCTAAAGCTCCTCACCTCTATCTTCCCTTCTCTTACCTTCATAAAGTCTTTTGCACATGATTTTCACCGAGTTGTAAACTTTCATCCCTTCATTATTTGATAGAAGCGTAAATCCTTGTCCCATCTCCCCTCCCCATTTCCTACTTCTTTTATTAATTCATTATCTTCTTTTACCCCAAATGTCATCCATTTCACATGGAGAAAGCAAACATAAGATCACAAAAGTAGACTCTTAAAGTGAATTAAAAAAAAGGAGATGGCACCCCGCTTGAGAGAGCAATTAGATCACAAAATCCAGTCCGCTTGTAATATTTTATCTACTTTTTTTTTATCTTCTTGGTTTTTGCCTGCAAAATTTAAGTATATGCCTTTTATATGACATGTTTTTATCTCTTTTGTTTCTTCAATTCTATGGGACGGATGGTTTCTTCTTTTTTTCAAGGATCGCATGCGGGTATTTTTTTAATTTATAAGAAATGAGGCCAAAACCCTAAAGTTATCCCATTACTCTCCTAATAAAACTTGATCTTGTCTGATCTCCTATCAACAAACAAAGTAAACCTCTCGGTGCGCTATTTAATGCTAGAGTATTTCGACCAAAAAAAAAATGTTAGAGTATCATTTACATATGGTAATTGAACCATCCAATTTGCTAACGAATTTGTATGAGTTTCCATTCCTAAAAGTATGCACGATTTTGACCTGTTGGAAATACTCTAAAGTTATGTTTGGTCGTCTGGATTTCTAGCCAAAATAAGACCGGATAGAATATTATATAAATCGACGGATTTTGCTTTATCAGATACGTTGTTCGGTGAATCGCAATAATAAAGATATTTTCACATCCTATCGTATTATTGTAAATAAATCTAAAAATTGTACAAACGAAAATGGTAAAAATCTCTCGGGACACTCTTGTTCTTCATTTTTATTTGCTTGTTTGTTATTCTCTCTCTCTCTCTCTCTCTCTCTCTCTCTCTCTCTCTCTCTCTCTCTCTCTCTCTCTCTCTCTCTCTAGTTTTTTTCCCACTTCCATCTTTCTCTGATAAAATTTTATTAAATAGTAAACAATACTAATATACCTAAAATATCTAAAATTTGTAATAACTATACATACTAAATATATTTATTGAATTTATATTGTGAGATAGAAAGAAATTTGAATATGTAAATAAAAATAGGAATAAATAAAAACGAAATTGTTGTCATTTTGAATTTTTTATATTATTATTCAAATATTATTTTAACTTTAAAATTTAAGAAGTTTGTTATTCTAGAAAAATTACTTTTATATTATGGATATTAAAATCCACTTTTATCCCACCTATCCATGGGATAATTATATTTAGGCTATATCTCTCTTATATCCCACTTTATCCTGTCCTAGATAGGCAGCAAACAAAGCATAGGATAAATTTTATCCTCTCTTGAACCTTATCCCGACCATTAAACGTAGCCTAACATTTTCCCAATCTGAGAAAGGAGAATGTCACCAAAATTGAGAAAGGGAGTTGATTTCTGAAGAAGGGAAATATAGCCGCTTGTGAGTCTACCTCCACGATAAATTCACGAATGTCCAATGAGATACCCATTTTGAGACCCAAATATAGGCCTCAAAGTTCTGCTTTAAGCAAAGAACACACTCCCATGGTTTGCACAAGCCTAGCAAGCCAACTGCCTCATTCATTATGAAGAAGACCACCTATCGAAGCTAGATTCAGGTTGCCTTTAGAGGCCCTATCAATATTGAGTTTGATCCAACCAGAAGGAGGAATGGTTCAATCCACAAACAAATCACGCTTCTTCCTCTTAGAAGACAATCTATTCTCAGTCATACAAGCCAAAAGGATGTCCTTAACATATCCCAAAGTCAGGGCCCACATATGTCCCAGGAAGAGAAAAGTTCATCTGAAATAATCTCTTGTTTCTTTGATTCCAAAAATGCCAACAAGTTGCACAAGAAACTAGTGGCCATGTCAGCTTCTTTTACCAAAGTTGTTGAAGCAAATAGGTGCCAACAACCATTTGTGCAGATCATGGGGAAAGAATTTGCCTCTTAAGCTTGTTGGCAGAATCTTTTGCCAAACAACCTTTGCATACTTACAATCTCTAAGCACGTGTAAAATTATTTCAGAGCATTGCAGACAAGAAGCACAAAAGGAATCCGTAGTGATTTCACGTTAAAACCTTTCGTAATTAGTAAGTAGACGCTAGTGAAAAACCAGCCTTAAGAAGCTTATAATCCTTTGCGGTCCATCCCATTTCCACACTGAATTCCAGAGTTTAACTGTAGGCAAATGATGTCTCAGTGAAATCAGTTCGTAAACTTGTTTAATAGTGAACGAACCGCTCTTATTGCTACCCTAGACCAGCAAATCATCACCACCATAGCCTGAAGGTGGGAGCATGGACCGAATTCGCATCAAAATTGACTGAGGCAGGACATTGGCTAGACTTGTGAGACTTCATTGGTTGTTACAAACAAAATCAAGGACAAGGCAGTTGAGATTTGGAATTGTAGCAAATGGCAAAATGCAATAGACCAAGGGGCCAACTTCATCGACCCAGTCATCATTCTAGAATTTACCAGTTCTCACATTAACCACTGCCCAGCTCATACTATATTAGACGTCAGACCATACTTCACTGAGCGCTTTCCATATTAACGAATAAGTTGCTCGAGTTGGAATGAAATCATAAGCATACATAGGGCTGAAACTGTGTGAGATCATCGAGCTTTCCATTTACCAGTTTTTTCATTGATTTTTTGAAAGTTTTAAGGTTGTAGTGGCCATTGGATTTGCTTAATCTATAGCATACATAATGCAAACTATGTTTAATTCTCACCAAAAAAAAAAAAACTACTAAGTTTAAGATCATAAGCATCACTGGAGCTCTAGGTTGTGAATAAACGAACCATTTACTAAGAAGATATTTTAATTGACATTTATGCTATAATATGATGATCTTTATGTTAAATTTACATATGGCATTACATAGCTTATATTGGCTGGATTTATGAATAATGAATGATGAAAGAAAGACAAAAGCAATTTCTGAAAAGCCTTTTCGATTTGGGATTCAGGATCCGTCGGATCATCAATTTTTTAATGGTTTCCTTTTTTGTGTAACTCGCGTAATTCGAACTTTTAGCTCTCCCAATTTTTGTTGATACATGCAAAATCGTTTGATCCATGCACATTACGTGAAATTTCACTTATAGGATGACGGGTATTTTCGAAAATCACTATTTTTCAGACGACACTGTGGATGTATTTAAGAGCTTACTTTTTCATACATCTTCTCCCACCGAAGAAGGACGTCATCGCATTCCAAAAAGGCAGGGCTCAAGCAAAATTTCCTCTCGTAATAATTCAATTTGACTTCCGAGGCTCCTAAAGGCACTTGAAAAAAGCCACGGCTTTCTAAAAAAGTTCGTAAAGCACTTTTGACATTTAGCGGCTACATGAATTAAATTAACCAATCAATATAAAGGTAAGAAAAGCAAAAGGGCCAGTAGATTTGGTTAGAATCTTTTCTTTAATCTATGTCGGGTATGTATTTCTCTCAGATATTAATTTTTATTGTCTTGATAGATTTTTAAATTAATTTACCCTAGAAAGAGTTCAACTTTTTTTCAGCAGCTTTCTATGACCCCCGGCTTATTTTCTCTCTCTCTCCCTTTGCTCCCAAACAAAATATATAAGTGAAATTCCGTGTCTTAATGCATTTTTTTTCTTTTCCTTCATTTTCTTTCTTCCGTTATTTTTTAATTTACCTTCTTCACGGCTTGCTTTTTTCCTTTTACTTTTTACTCTTCAATGTTGTTTTTCTAAGAATAAAGAGGATTGGGACCGGTTGAAACCCGTTTTACCTGTTACTGGAATGTTCTATTCAAGACCGCGGGGTCATTTTATTATGCCGGGTCATCACGTCTTCAATAAAAACGTTCTAGAATCTCATAAGGTGGCCAAAAATTAGCCGCTACTTATGATACGTTTGACAAGTTCCTGTCAATGATAAACAATCACAGGGCAATTTACCACACGAATTCATCAAACGGAGCACGATTGACGTGACATTTCGGCATTCACTCGAATTATTCTATGGAATTATATATGCACATCCAGAAATACATAAATAAGGTAAAATTGAAATCATAAAGTTAATTTTTATTTTTGCCCCAAAAAAGAAAAAAAGCATAATAGCCGATTAAAAAAAAAGAAAAAGAAAACTGTATTTGTTTTTTTTGTTTAAATTTCCTGAGGAAGTTGCCAAGAAACCCTAAGGGGGTGGTGGTGGGGGTCGTCGTCGTCTCCGCGTCGAAGCCTTTCCTCCATTTTTTACCTTTTCCTTACTGTCGAGTTCGAGCGAAGTGAGCTCTCTCTACTCCGCAACTTCTTCTTCTTCTTCTTCTTCCTTCTTCCTTCTTGAGTCGATTCGATTCTGCGATATGCGGTGGTGGTGCTTGTTGTGGTGTTGCTATGGTGGTGTGCTCGGCGACGCTGCGAGCTTCTGACGGTGCCATCTCTCCTGCGACAAGATTTCGTAACAGATTCCAATGGCCTATCGCTCCCGAGGCGGCTCCCCCTACCGGCGGCGCCGCGACCCGGAGGCTGGGGGCGGCGACTCCGGCGACTTCGGCGGCGGCGGCCCGTCCCTGGACCCGTTCGACATCACCAGCACGAAGAACGTTCCGGTCGATCGCCTCAAGCGCTGGCGGGTACGGCGTATCTCTCTCTCTCTCTCTCTCTCTCTCTCTCTCTCTCTCTCTGTGCATTCTGTGCCTTCGTAATTTGACTGCCGCAAAACCTGTTGTACTTCTTTGTTAGTGCCTGGGGGCAGGTGGGTCCTGATTTAAAGAATGTTGGGTGGCGGCTATGGAGACTTTTGGTGGATTTTTTAAAAGTAGAAGCGGATAGAAAACTAACTACCACCTGAGTGGGGGTTTCCAAACTTTTGCTGCTGCACGTTCTTTTTTTAGCTTTATTGATTTTAAGTTTAGGATGTGTTCAGGGGAGGTTATCAACTTGGGAGAAGCTAATTGGCTCATGTGTCATGAATGACTATTGTATGCTATTAATTTGCACCCTTTAAAAATCGCTTGGAACGACACGTCCTGTAGCCCCTAGCACATCGGAGCACAGCAAAGTACCATGGCTGACTGCGGTGCTAAGTCGCGAAGAAAGCGATATCAAAACATAAAAAATCGACTTCGAGCATGAAAGCGGTTGCCGTTAACCACACCGGGTTTAAATGTAGTCAGTGGCAACCGGGTTGACTCTAGTGTCGCACAGCAAAGGCCTTTTGGAAAAGATTAACCTGCCGATGTAGTGACTTCATTGATACCTTGAGCAGCTGAGGCGTATGCTTGCAGTGCCTTCTAGTTTTAATGTTTCTCTTTTTCTCAAATCTCATGACTATTTTGATTTTTGTTTAGTGTAGAACACTCGTGACCTTTGAAAAATATACTAAATCGACACATCACATCAAATGATATACACCTCTGTTTTTCATAATGCTTTGTAGTCTGAATAATATTTTTAAAGTTTTGGCTGGAAAATCAGTATGTTACTTTTTGCTTGAAAAGGACTTGACTAATTAACCAAATGTCTATGATATGCGCATATCCCATTATCTTATGTTCATTGGAATGTGATTGTGATTGATCAATTTATTTGGGAAAGGTAATTTTCCTTAATATTGATGTGTTAGTTAAAGCACACACGTGCATGTTGCACATGTCATGTCGTGTGATGAAATGTGATATGTGACGCCTGCTTTTTATGTGATCATTTATTTCTATCTGGCTTTCTTAAAATTTGTGAATGTGATATTATCCGTTGTTTTAACTGATTCTTCTTCACGAGCTTATTTTTATTCCTGAGGCTGATATTTTGATGCGTACCGTGTGATTTTTTTTTTTTTCTGGTTCCGCCTTTTTTTGGGCAATTCTTTTGTACTACACTCCTAATTTTCCATCAAGCAATTATTAAATGCAAATTGGTCGAATGTCTAATGCAGCAAGCGGCACTTGTTCTGAATGCCTCTCGCCGCTTTCGATACACCTTGGACTTGAAGAAGGAGGAAGAGAAAAAGCAAATGCTGAGGAAAATTAGAGCCAATGTTCAAGCCCTACGAGTATAAATTTCTCCATAAATGACTTTGATAGTTTTGTGCCGTTTCTGCGATGTAAGTAATAACTTGTAGTTTGTTTTCTTGGAATTAGGCTGCGCATCTCTTTCAAGCTGCTGGTGAACATGTTAATGGTACTTTCCTCCTTAACTTTTGCTTGAGTCATAGCAATTAGCTTGGAGTTGATGATAGATGTTAACAATTTTATAGGAGTTCATTGATATCTTCTTTTTATGAAGCAAATCGACTTCAATTCTTAAATAATCCACATCACTTCTGTTTTTTTTTTTTGTGGGACATTTGTTTTCTTTAGAATTAGGACTTTTGTCATCTTGCTAATATTGGTGCTTATCCCATGCTTGATTATTGACACGAGTTTTTTTTCTTCTTAGAGTGAGTTGTAGATTGAAATATAAGCCAAAAAGAAAGATTCATGGTTATGAGGTTCTAACAATGGTAAAATTTTTTTGGTTATTAGATTTTTTTTATGGCTTAAATCTTCTATGGTCAAGGATAGTCTTAATTTTGTTAGAATTTTAAAGGTTAACTGCTGCAAAGATTAACTTGTGAAGAGTAAATTCTTTAGATCTTAAGCTTTGCCTTTGGGGTATTCCAAGCATGCTTGAGAATGGAAATGCATAAGACGGTTTAAATGAAGAAAATTGCTTATATTTCATCATGCTTCATTCGTCGTGCCAAATATCGACTCTTCTGAGATCCTTCTAAGAAGCAATAGCAATCCTAGAAGGTACTCCATGTATAACTGATGGACTTTTGTTTGTATAGCAGACTTCTGGGCGATCAACAATGTCTATAAGCCTCCTATGTTAATAAGGACAAGAATCCTTGTTTTACCGTTTGATTTTGATATAAACATTAGGTCAAAATTTTGCACAGTTTGAAAGTACAGAGAGTTTTAGAGTTATTTCCATGTGCAGTGATCCCCTGTTGGTTTAGTGAGAAATCAATATGAACCTAGTGAGTCTTGAGAATCCTGTGTTGGATGTGCTTGAAAGATTTGTATTTTAAAGCTCTCTACTTTATTGAAGTCACATGGATATGGGCATCACTTAGACATGAATCTGTGGAGTTATATTGCCTTTATCTTTGTTAGATGGTGCTAATTGATGTTTAATTTGACCGAGTTATTTGTCAGATTGAACATCATTATATATGCTAATGTGTGCTAAAATCTCCTGAATTATGCTGCGGTTGTAGTACATCATGTAAATCTATTTAGACATATATACATTGTGGTAGTGAATCATGGTTTGTTAGGCGATATTTGGAATTATGGTAATTAGCACTCAATTTAATCAGTAAGTCTACGTCTAGACGTATATACATTGTGGGAGTGAATCATGGTTTGTTAGGTGATATTTGGAATTATGGTAATTATCACTCAATTTAATCAGTAAGTTTACGACTAGATTTTGTGACTTCCAATGGATCTTTGTCAAATACAATACTGGCTCTAGGTGAAAAAGCAGATTCTGATGAAGGAGAGCTTGAGTAGGCTAGCTGTTCAATTAATAAACTGAAGATTTTAGTCTTCTTGTGTGGGGTCAGAAGGAGAGACTTGAAAGGGTCATATAACACATTAATGGAGAGGCTAACTCCATATCTAGAGGATGAACAGAGAGATAGTGTTTGCTCTGTGTATATTCTTCAGTAGACGCAATTCCTCTAGCCTGTAGATTCTCTGGCAAATTAACCTCAACATCTCTGTTCTCATTATGATCTTGAGAAGCTGCTTATGAGAAATCATTTCTCTCCTGGTATCTCAAGGTCCTATCCCTCATCCAATGTGGCATTTTGTTCTCAACTTGACTAACTAGCTGAATGTGTGTAATTTATAGCTTTGGATTGCTTAAGTGTAATATCTGAGGCCTCAATTAATCAAACTGTAGTAGATTTTTGCCTGTTGATGTAAACAGCCGACCACATAGTAACTTAATAAGATTCTCATTGAACAGTGGGTCTTTGTTTGTGTATCGTATAGTTATTATTCTGCTCACTGGTTGTGTTCCAAAGCACAGTAATGGGAGGTGTTAATTGCCTGTTATGTTCCTCCTTTGAAGTTTGAGCTCCTCAGTAACTCAACCAATCTGGAATTTGAAGCTTTTATAATGTTTTGTTTAGTCAGGAAAAAGAAGCTTAGAGCTTTACAATGAATTACTTTAATTAACAGTCAGACTTCCTTGCCTTGTTCTTTTACTTTGACTGTATAAATGTTAAGTGTCACCCCATAATTGAGCTCTTGTTTTTTTTTTGATGTCTTGAGCCCCATATTTGCACTCCCTTGCTACCCTATAGTTGTTTTACTTTTGCCTATCAAAAGAAATGGTGAAGTAGTCACGTTATGAGCATTTGGAGTCGAGCTTTTCCTTTCTCAGTTTATGCTACTAGGAAACAGAAGGTGTCAAAATGAGCTGGGGCTAGTTATAGATGCGAGCTTTTAGGTTCTCATCCACTAGTTCCTGAAGTTGATATAAACCTGTGTTTGTGTGGTGGGAATGTCATTGGACTTATTGGAGAGGGGAATGCCTGAATGGTATCCTATCTGCTCTCACGCCCCTGCTCTTGCTAGCCACTCTGGTTTATTGTTCTTTCTGTTAAACAGCTTCTTAGTCTACCTTATTTATTTATTTATATAAAAGACATTTTGTTGGTTTCTCATTGTTGGTTTTCCTCCTACCTTACACTGGGACAATCTTTACAGTAATTTTCTTTCTTCTTCAGCTCTTTTTGAATGATATCCTTGGTCACCCTGCTTACCTCCCTTATCATTATTCCACAATTGGAGTCTTAATGATGTCAGCATGTAATATTGAGTGATATATCGCATCTTTTTCTTTTTGTTGCATAAGAACTAATTTACTTTTCCTTCCTTGTTTTGACAGCTGGAAGTATCTTATTTCACTCTTGCTCTTATGTTGCATGCTTTGTAATTGAACTCATGGGTGCTAATGGCAGGAACTGCAAAATCCCCAATACCAAGTGGTGATTTTGGAATCAGTCAAGACCAACTTGTTTCAATGACGAAAGATCATAATTATTCTGCATTTGAGGAATATGGGGGGGTAGATTTACTAAAAAAGTCATTTTCCTTTGGTTCGTGAATAATTAAATATCATTCTTAATGTTTTCTACATTTGCTGCAGGTTAAGGAGCTGTCAAACTTATTAAAAACAAACTTAGAGAAGGGTATTGGTGGCGATGATGCTGATTTACATGCACGGAGGAATGCATTTGGGTCAAACACGTATCCTCGTAAAAAAGGAAGAAGTTTTTGGGTAAGTAGTTCTGTATACGTACGTAGATATCTGAATGTACTATGTATCCACATGAAGTTGCTGAACCTTCTCATTGAAGATGGAAATTATGTGCTAATGGTTTGCTTCATTGATTTGTCCCCCAATTTTGGGTCTACTCAGATGTTCCTCTGGGAAGCTTGGCAAGACCTCACGCTGATTATATTAATCATTGCTGCAGTGGCTTCTCTGGTGCTGGGTATAAAGACAGAGGTAAGCTGGAGAAAACATATAAATTCAAACAATTGATGTCAAATTGCCTCTTCTGCTTAAAAGATGTTGTTATTACTGAAACAGTACGTGTATCTAGGTGTTGTGAGGACATATTTTGCATTTTATGAAAGAATCATGTTAATGAATATCCAGCGGACATTAGTTAAGAATACTGAACAGTAAGTGCATTGAAACTGCAAACTCTTCTGATTGTTTTTTTTTTTGGTCAAAAAATTCTTCTGATTGTTTGTTTGTTGAAATTTTGGAAAAATCCAAAAGTACTTATCTGCTTTCCCACTAAAAGACAAGTTATTATATATGAATCTATGTGTCAATGTTTGTATGTTGTGAAGGTTTCAAGTGTTTCATATTTAAGAAAAGTCAAAGTGAGCATGATTTGGATTAAGCAAATAGTAAAAAGAAAAAGTCAATCCAGGTAGATGGTAAATTTTGTTGTAGTTTCAAAGTTTGTGCTGCTAGCCTGCTATTAACAGAGTAAGACCTTGTCCTGTGATATGACTTTTGATTCTTTACCAAGCATGACCACAAGTCTTCACCAGGCCCGACAGTTCTTAACAATAGTGGAACTATCAGCTTTGTTGAAATTTTTCGTTTCTCGGAGGCTAAGTCAGCATGGATTTTTCTAATCTCAAAATTTCTGTCACATATAGTTGGTGTTTGTCATCATTTGAAAAGTAAATGACATTGTGCAAGATGAGTAATCAGTCTCCCCTGATGGCCCCACGGTGATTTGTCAGTTTATGCTTTTGATTGTTGCTCTCTTTTCCCCTATTGTTTGGAGAAGCCCCTGAAGTCTAATAAATTATATGTGCTATATGTGACGTTGAATTATTTGTTTTGTGCTTACAATTTTTATCTAGGGTATTAAAGAAGGATGGTATGACGGTGCGAGCATTACTTTTGCGGTTCTCCTTGTGATTATTGTTACCGGTATGAATTTTTCTGGTGTTTGTACTTGGTGTATACATCTATTTTCCCCATTATCTTCACATTTGCTAAAACTTGTTAATAATGTTTTGTGACAGCTCTATACTCTTTCATTTTGGGAAGTAGATATCTCGATTTTCATGGGCATCTGAATGATGATCATATGATATGGTACATTAGGTTTGTTACTAGGATCAGTAGGGCCAATATTGTTTTGGTGTTCGTTTTCCTTAGTGATTCTAATAGCCTTGTGAATTTATCTTACGAACTACTTCAAAGAAAAACGGAAAAAAAAAAGTCAGCTTAAAGCTTTTGGGATTGCTATGATCCTTGGTCCTTTTTCAAACAGTGGCTGGATTGGGCCGGAAGAGATGAATTGGGGGATGGAGGGAGGGAGGGTTGACAACTTGTGGATTTCCGCAGAGATTGAAAAGCCTAGATTGATTAACAGTACATCTGTAGTTGGTGAAAGGACTGGTGCTGAGCCAGGGTTGGCAGTGATAGATGTGGGAAATTGAGGTGTTTGGTCTTGTGATCGGATCTATCCAGGTTTATCTAGCTAGTAGTTTGAACCCAAATCTACTCCAAGTTTATGTGGTTTGATCCTAGCTATTTGATGCTAAAGTAAGATGCATATATACAGGCCACTAAAGTGAACATGGCCTCAGGGAGGTTCCATTGCGATTAAACTAATGCATATTTGAAAGAAAAGCAAGAAAATTGCTTATTATTTGCTTGTTTCCCTTGCTTTCTTGTACATGATGCTTAGAGTGATAATTTGCCAATGTTTTTAATATGTCAAAAAGCCTTTTTCTACTTTTGTGTCCAGGACTTGTTAACATGCGTCTAATTCTTGTCATGAACTTTTGAAATTATCTAGGACAATTGCCAACTATTAAAACTTAAAATCTCTCTAGCTTCGTGTCATGTTTTAATATGTGCCTCTAATCCTATGACAATTTTCTAGAGTTTTGTGGGATCTTTGCCAACTGTTCTAAAAAGTTTAAGCTATTTGATAAAGGCATCTTTAAAATTGAAAATGTTCCAACACTCCCTCTCATGCGTGGGCTTCTAACACTCCCTCTCATGCATGGGCGGAACTTCGGCCTACGATTGACGCATGAAAATATATAAATGGGGGGGCAAATAAGGGAGCTAAAAGATTTGAAGTTGTGATGTTTTGCTTTGATATCATGTGGGGTTTTGTTGGATTGCTATCAACCAATGTTGTTGAAAGCTCTAGGCACTCTAAGTGCTATGACTTTGCAATGCCTGCGGTGCTACGTGCTAATTTAGGTGCTTGACGTTTTAAAGATACAAGCTGGTTTATTGGGTAATACGGCTTTCTTTGTACTTTTGGTACTTAAAATATATATGTTGTCAGATTGTTAAATACATTTGAAACTATTGATTTACATGATGTCTGATAGTTAAATACATTTGAAGTGACGAGTTTTGTCTATGTATTTAATTTTTCTGGTATATCTTATCATTATCAGAATTTTTGGAGAGAGAGAGAGAGAGAGAGAGAGAGAGAGAGAGAGAGAGAGAGAGAGAGAGAGAGAGGTCAAAAAGTCTGCAACAATGCTGTCACATTTCCTATACTTTTATTAGAACATGGAGGAAAAGGTCAAAATTGAAAATCTTTAGTGGAAGGAATCTACTTTATGGAGGCGTTGCCTCAGAAGTGAAGCGCCACACCTTGAAACGATCTTCTAGGCAACTCCTAGGCAATGGCACTTTTCCTAAGACCAAGGCGAACCACTGAGCCAGTGCTTTGCCACCTCGCCTGAGCGCTTAGGCGAGTGCTTTTTGTAGTTGTTAGATGAAAGAATTGTTTAATATTTAGATATTCTGACAGAACCAATGATGGTTAGACTAAGTTCTGCTCTACTATACACTTGGAGTTTTTAATGAAAGTATTTGGCAGCCGAATGATATAAATAAAGTAGCAGTTGATCTAAAAGGATCTTTAATACCTTTGTGAATACTTTGCAGCTATAAGTGACTATAGACAGTCCCTTCAATTTCAGAACTTAAATGAAGAAAAAAGAAACATTCACATGGAGGTATGCTATTTACACTTAGTTTGATGTTTGTGAACATATACTTCTTTTCTCTTGGTTTCAATATGGCGGAACATAATTGTAGGTTGTCAGAGGTGGTCGAAGAGTTGAGGTGTCAATATATGATATAGTTGTTGGTGACATTATACCCCTTAATATTGGCAATCAGGTAAGCTGCTTCATCTTCTTTGAGATTTCTACTCAGTGTTTGATGTATTTCAACCTGATTTTCACTTGATCATCCTTAGGTACCCGCTGATGGAGTTTTGGTTTCTGGTCATTCTCTTGCAATCGATGAATCTAGCATGACTGGAGAGAGCAAAATTGTATGGCTTACTGCTGGTTTTCTGAGTGTTATATTATGCAATTTGATTAGTAATTTGTTGTTTTTTTTCTTTTTACAGGTTCATAAAGATTCGAGGCGTCCTTTTCTAATGTCTGGATGCAAAGTTGCTGATGGTAGTGGTATTATGCTGGTAAAATTAATACTTTCGCAGTTTCTTTTGTTTTCAGTTCTTCTTGGTCCAAATAAATTATTTCTGTGGCATCTTTGGAGTCTCATGTTAGTTGTTAAAGTGCATAATCAATACACCTCTGTAAAGTGAATTGGGTTAACTCCAGTTGCTCCCTTCACTTGCCTCTGTCATTGTAATAGTCTCCCATTATGCTCCCTCGTTGTTGACTGCCAATTCTTGAGATGCACCACAAACATCCATTTTAATTGGTGCTGTTGGCCGCAAAAATATTGTCATGCCCTTCCACTCTATTTGATGTTGAAACTTACAAATTATCTAGATACATTTGCCCTAAATTAAGTCTTGTTGATTGACTGACGATTTGTGCATTGTGTTTTAGGACATTCCCATAAATTTTTGCATCTGGATTTCCTTTCTTATGTTAATTAAAAGGTTTATGACTTATGATATCAAGAGTTCAAAACAATAGAATTTGGTAATTTGTTAAGTGCAACCGCAGTGGGAGTAAATATGAAAATTTAGTTAATCTCTAAGTCAAGTATTAGACTGTCCTTTCTGCTGTATTCTCTTGCATAGGCTTCCTAGGTGATATTTAATTGTACATGGCAATGGCTTTGGTCAAGTAAGATGCATTATTTTCCACAGGCAGCTTATTTCTTTGATGTAGCTTTAGCTGCACATGCTAGTGTTGAAGATGTTTCTCATAATTGCATATTGCGAAGTGTTTACTGAGCTTGAGAAAGTGATTTTTGTTTCTCATATGCACGGACACACGCACATGTTGTTCCCTTAATTAGAGTTCAGATTGCCTACAATATCTTCTTTCTTTTAGGTAACGAGCGTTGGAATTAATACTGAATGGGGGATGCTTATGGCCAGTATTTCAGAAGACACTGGAGAAGAGACACCCTTGCAGGTTCTTCTCTAATTTATCTTGAGTTTTTTTTTTTTCATTCTGTTCACTTTATGTGAACATGTCGATTGGTGAAGTAGTTTCTCTGTTTTTTCTCCAAGTTTTGTGTTGGCAAGCATTTAAAGTCTTGAAAGATAAATTGATAGGATTCAATAAATTGCTTTGATATTCTGAAAATTTGAAAGGTGTCTGTTTTAGTGAATAATGAGATTCTAGGATATATTGAAGTGCATTGGCTATAATGAGGCAGAGGCTGGGTTGGAGACGTGGCGGTGAAAACTTGACATGATGGATCGCAGTCAAGAAGACTAAGATTGGCTCCCTTATTTGACGTTTGAAGATCGGAGTTATGAAAGTGTGCTAGGCTGTGCTTAGAGAAGCTATTTTCAAATAATTTAAGTTTTTTCTTTTTGGAGAAAAATATGAATGCTTCTGTTATTGCATTGTTTCCGAATGTGGCAAGTGCTGAAGATTGGTATGATTCATAAATTGTTTATCTCTAGGGTTTTGGCTCATAATCTATACTGTTACCGCAAAGATCATTCCCCCTTTTGCAAGTTAAAAACGATTATTTTTTCTATCCAAATGCTTTATCCGTGGGGGATATATTGAGGATGCCATTGATAATGAGTGCTTGGGTACTGTGTAGCTGGATCAAGGCTAGTATTCTTGGAATTATTCACTTATCATATTTACAAAAGGATTATTTGCTATGAGTGCTTGGGTACATTGTAGCAGGATCAGGTTCTGGAATACTTGCTGGTATCTTTTGTAATATCCGGGGTTCACCTTTTCCTTTATCATTGTCGAGAAAATTCTTAATAAGATCTGAAAGCAGTAGAAATGAGATACTTGACTGGTTTAAGATTGAACTGAGTGATATCAGCCTTGTTCAAATTCTTATCTCTAATTTGCTGGTGATGGAAGGTGATCAACTAAGATATTTAAGATGCTAGTTTGGGTTGAGAGTGCATCATCTAATCGTCCTTTAGTTCTCTTTATATTCTTTTTCCATCTTTAGTTGCACAAAAGCGGGAGAGTTATAGACCTTCTATGGGAAGATAATAGTGAAATCAGTAAGTTTCGTTTGGTTAACTGGCATGCTATCGACGATCATGTGCAGAAAGATGGATTTAAGAAGTCTTAACAGAGATTTTGCAAATTGTTATGTAACTACCTGGTGAAGTATAAGCTTGTGAAAAGCAGCTTTTATTTGAAAGTAGATACAGTGGTTGGCTTACTTTGAAAAACTCATTATTGTCATGGGATAAGGCTCTGGAAATGGAAGTGAAAGCTGTGGAATGATTTTTGTAATGGCTCTTTTCTCAAGTTGGACTTGGCAATGGAGTTAGATTTTAGCACGATATTTGGTCTGGTGGACTCTTTTCCAATTTTGTTCCTTTAGAAACTGTGATGCCATGAGTGAATGGTAAATTACTCTGCTCTCTTACATTTACAAGGGAAGCTCATTATCGGTAATTGGAACGAATCTAACTACTTATCAGTAGACTTTATCGGTGTCAATGACCAATAGACAGATCTTTTGATTGACTGTGGATTCTTTCTATCATCAATGGGCTCTCTTTTGGCTTTTGCTCTTCTTGTAAATGGATTGACAGTCCCTTGGTGTCTCACAGAGATTTTATTTTTACTTGTTAAAAGACAACCTAATGTTTGATAGGGCATTTAACTTGGTACAGCCCTTCACCATGAAATCTTATTTACATTGCCCTAGAAGAAGGTATTACCTGTAAATTTGTATGGAAATATTTTGGAGGTAGTGCTGGAACCATGGTTGCTTTCTTCACGAGGACATCATCTAGGGAAAGAAGTTTATGGAAAGAGTTTAGTTTGTCATCATGGATTGGTCTGTTATATTATGGAGGCAGGGGAAACAGGTGAATATAAGCGTTGTCCGACAGATTAATGGAAAACTTAGGAGCTGCACTCTATCACAGCATTATATGGAATATATGGCTAGATAGTAATAGGAGAGGGTTTATGTGTGAGATCCATCCAGTCAAAGAGTGAAGAGGAGATTGATTGTGACTGGGTTCCATATTCGGTCTGATATAATTTTTGTGCTTGTCTATGAGCATATGCTTATATGTGTTTTGGCTCAATCATGTCCTTTACTTGACACTGAATAAGGTTGGCTATTCATGAATAGGTACGCTTAAATGGGGTCGCTACGTTTATTGGGATTGTTGGGCTGACTGTAGCTGTAGCAGTTTTGATTGTACTTTTGGCAAGGCAAGTACCATTTAGTTGATGATCGTTCTTTGAAAGAATAAATAGTCTCTCTCTCTCTCTCTCTCTCTCTCTCAGCATGCATACTCAAGTGAGATGGAATTCATTTGGGTTGTCAAACTGTATATGTGCAGATACTTTACTGGCCATACAAAAAATTCAGATGGCAGTCGTCAGTTTACGGCAGGGAAAACTAGTGTTAGTAATGCCGTAGATGGAGCCATCAAAATTTTCACAATTGCTGTAGGTTCATTCTTCTTCTGCATTTGTGCAACCAAATTTTCCTTTCTTTTTCCTTGTCATAACTGACAATGGAATGCCAGGTCACAATTGTGGTGGTTGCAGTGCCTGAAGGGCTTCCTTTAGCTGTTACACTGACGTAAGCACTTTCAACCAAACTTGTTTCTTCTGGGTTCATTTACTTAAAAATTGTACTCTATATAGTTAATGAGGACTATACTGCTAGATTATTTATCTTTTCATTTTGTATATTATAACTCGGAATTGGTGCGCAAGGACCAAGTTGGTCATGTTTGCATTCCTTGTCACGGACCCCATAGAGCCGTGTCAGCCATGCCCCTTGAGTGATAGACTTGACTTCTATTGTTGCAATCTTGTGGATTGGCCAAGTATTTCGGAAGAAAGAAGAAGAGAATAAGTTGTGGCAGTAAACTTGTCTCCATTTTTTTTCTTTTTCAGTTTTCATTTTCAATTTGTTTGGACTGACTTTCCTTTGAACTTTGAACTTTGTTCTTTTCCACATATTGTGATCTCATAGTATGACTTTCTTTTAATATGAAATCTCTAAATCCATTCAGAATATACGAATTATATATAATTTCTTTTCATAATTTCCTGAAACTTCTTTATTTATTTTTTGTTTTCAAAGTTTTCGAGGGGAAATTGGAAGTAAAAGGTAGAAGTCCTAATAAATGGACCCATATCATTCCTTGTAAGAAGAGCTCCTCAACCATTCGGTTTCCTTTTAGCCCTTTGAGCTATTTTCTCCGAGTCTAGAGAACAAGATGCTGAACTCTCTCTTAGCTGGAACTATATAACACGCTGGCTTAAAGGGAAGGACCAAAATTGCTTAGTTTTTGTTCGAATGTCTTGTTCACAACAGTTGCCAGGTCAATGAGGAATTGATCTATAACAGACCATATTTGGGGTCTGTTTGGTAACATTTCTGTTTTTGTGTTCTCCGGAATAGAAAAAGAACAGAAATTTGATTGGTAACGTCAGTTAGGGCAACTTTTTTGTTTCTCTGATTTTTTGGTCTTTTGTTTCTCGGAATAGAAAAAGAATCTAAATCCGTTTGGTCAGTTAATTTTTCTATTTCTCGGAATAGAAAAGTAGCGGGGAATAGATTGGGAGCAGAAATAAGAAGTAAAAAACAAAACTACTTTTCTGTTGCCGGGAACAAAAGGGAAACACTAGAGAAACAAGATAAACCCCAATACCCAAACACTAAAATCCTAAACCCGAAATACTAAAACCGTAAACCCCAAAACCCAAAATCCAAAATCCTAAACTCCAAACTACAAAACCTAAAACCCGAATCCCTAAAACCCCCAAACCCAAACCCTAAAACACCAAACCCAAAACCCGAAATACTAAATCCTAAACTCTAAACCTGAAACCCTAGAACTTAAACACTAAAATCATAAACCCCAAACCCTAAACCTTAAACCCAAAACCATAAAACCCAAACCCTAAACCCCAAATCGGAAACTTTAAAACCCAAAAATCAAAACCCTAAAACTCAAAACCCTAAAACCCCAAACACTAAAACCTAAACCTCAAACCCTAAACCTTAAAACCTAAACTCTAAACCCCAAAACCCCAAACCTAAAACCCTAACCCTAAACACCTAAACCCTAAACTGCGATTTCCTTGACCACCATATGGTATTTTCTTTGTCTATAAGGAGTAATTTTCTTTATGATTGTGTTAAGGTCATCTAATTTTATATCATAATATATTTTAATTCTATTTTTTGTCCAGTTTTATTCAAACATGAATTGTTAAGTCTCCACCGACATTTTTATAATTAAATGAAAAAATTAGGAGTAGAAATTTTTAAGGTCATACCAAACACATTTCTGTTCTTTATCTATTCCAGGAATAAAAATTGTGCAGTTACCAAACGCGTTTTTCTGCTTAGAAACTCATCCAGGGAATAGAAATGGAAAAAACTATTTCTCTGCAAAAATTATTCTCGGGAACAGAAATGTTAACTAAACAGACCTTTAATTTTTCTATTCCATGGAATGAAAAAGTGGCCAGGGAATAGATTTGGAATAGAAACAAGAAGTAAAAAAAATCTTCTTTCTATTCCCGGGAACAAAAAGAGAAAAAATAGAGAACCAAGATCAGGTCTCTTTCTTTCAAAAGTTATTTTCATGCTAAACCGTAAACCCCAAACCCTAAAACTCTAAACCCCAAAACCGTAAACCTCAATACCCAAACCTTAAACACTAAAACCCCAAACCCATAAACTCCAAACCCCAAACCCTAATCCCATAAATCCCAAACCCTAAACTCCAAACCTCGAAACCCGAAACCCTAACCCTAAACCTTAAACTGCAATTTTCTCGACCACCACTCGATATTTGCTTTTTTTCTTATGATTGTATTAAGGTCGTCCAATTCTATATTATAATATATTCTTATTCTATTTCTAGTCCAATTTTGTGCAAACATTAATTGTTAAGTCTCCACTGACATTTTTATAATTAAATTAAAAAATTTGGAGTAGAAATTTTTAGGGCCGTACCAAATGGATTTATGTTCTTTTTCTATTTTGGGAATAGAAATTTTGTGCAGTTGCCAAACGTGTTCTTTTGCTCAGAAACTCATTTGGGGAATAGAAATATAAAAAACTATTTCTGATCATTAATTATTTCCAGTAACAAAAACGTTACCAAACATACCCTTGATGGCTTACTCGGCACATATCTTTGTTTTTTTTAATTCTTGGAAAGAGGAAGAGAGGCTTTACGAATACGCATTATTGCTCTACACTTTATGAAGTCGTTTGTGAGTTCTAGGTGCTCCATATATTTCCTTATTTTCTCATTTGTCTTTTTGGATATTTTCATGCTCACTTTAACCCCAAGGTGTGTTTACATTTGAAATTTGCAACGCAATGATATAAGCTGATGTATAGGTATGTATTTCTGCACGACTGTAGGGATCAGAGTTTACCCTTTAGATATATTGGGAAGACAAATTAACATAATGTTAATATCTATCATCCACAATATTGACAACCTTATCTTAACTTACGTACTTTTGAATTTAAAAACTGATTGTGATACAGTTATACTACGGAGAGTTGCTTAATTTTCATTAGAGAATTGAAAATATAGCAATTCTGATGATGACATTCCTTTAAGTGTTCTTTAGGACTGTTTAGTTCCTTAAGAACAATGCTTAGAGAGATGGTGCGAACTTTGCAATTTAGTTTTACTCTTCTTTGATAACCTTGATTTGTTGTTAAAAGTACCTGTGAGGAAGTCAAAGTTAGATAGACATATTTAAATATAGAAATGCTGTGTTTTGATTTAAATTCACCGTATACAAACTTGTGCAGTAAATTTTTATGAGGAACTTTCTAATTTTGGACGCTATAGTATATTTGTAGGGATATGGACTTAATTGTAATTTCTTAATTATATGGAAATTCTATACATGTATACATAGAAAGGGATGAAATTTTTGGAGAATTTCTGTCAATTAAGAAAGAAGACATGAATATGTCATTGGATGGCTAAACCGTGAGTTGATTTTTTTAAAGATACTTATGGTTAATTTCAGGAATAAGTGAAATAACGTCCCCTTAATTGTCTTCATTTGTATCCCTAAGCTAAGTCCACTTGTCCTATTGACAAACATGCATGCCTGGATCTGACTAACGATCTCAATCTGTGCTTGCTTGCGTGATGGTGATGGCACTATATGATCTCCTTGTGCAATAACTATTAGATTCGGATGATCATGATGTGCATTTTACTCCATTTTTCATATATTCTTTCCCCTACATTGCAGACTTGCTTACTCAATGAGGAAAATGATGGCGGACAAGGCATTGGTACAAATTTTTGAAAAATTGAACGTGCCTTATGGAATATCATTTGCAAAAATGGAATGAGGTCTAGAAGTAGTAAACTTGCAGGTGCGAAGACTTTCAGCTTGTGAGACTATGGGATCGGCCACAACCATATGTAGTGACAAGACTGGTACCTTGACTTTGAACCAGGTGCATTCTTGTTCATATTCTTGGTGATCTGTGATGGGGATGTGTTTTGAGTGATAATAGAAATTTTGTTTGATAATGATCACCACCGAGGCCTAAAGGAAGCCAAGGATAAAAGAGTTCGGATAGGAGAAGTTTACCACCAAGGCCTAAAGTAAACCCACGAACCATGGATAAATGACTTCTTGGTTCACCACCCAAGAAATTTGGATAAAGAGCCAAAATAAGAAATTTGCTCATTTGAGGAAAATCTCGTGTACATTCAAATGCAAGTCTTGTCTGTTTGCAAATGAGATTACACCTCTATTCATAGAAGGATTCTGCTAAGAAAAAGAAAACGACTCTTGGAATCCTAGAAAGAAGTGACTCTTGGAGTATTTACATGATTAAGACTGATATCGAAATAAAGACTCATAAAAACTAGGAGAAAATGCATTTATTTAAGATCAAATGCATGTATCCGATATTATACTCCATCCAAATTCATCCACCAGCCTTGGAAGCCTAATAGCCACCTTAGAAGATCAACAAACAGCCATGGAAATCAACCAGAACAGCCTTCAATAGTTTGTCAACTAGCAGTTTCAAAGTAGACAAGAAATTTGTAAATCGACATCTTCAAACTTGGACCCATTGAATTACGTTGTGGCCGAAATTTGTTTTATCTAGCATGAGTAATGAATGAGCGAGGCCAATCGATGAATTCGGAGTTGGGCTTGAGAATTATTCCATCGAATCCGATGCTCCTGCATCACTTGGTTTCATTTGTAATGTTAAAATCTAAGATTTTAATTGGAGATATTATCTGGTAAGCATCAAACAATGATTCCTTTTCCCCTTTGTGGTGCAACTTCTTAAAACTTAGTGCCTGTTAGTTTATACTTTTTAAAAAGAGAAAAGCGACTTATTGCTTGCCTGTCAAAACTAAAGATATTATCTGGATTGCAAAAATTATGAAAAAATTATATGTGAAAATCTACGTGTCAAGGCTTGTATATTGCAGAAGTTTTATGGTGTTTTAGCTAATAAAAGGTCAGGGTATGGTCTAAATATTTAGATTAAGCACACAATAAAAAGTAAAAGTCTATTTAGACACGACCTTTCGCTTTGTAATAACTGATTGCATTTGGATCATTTCCTTTCCCAAATTTCATAGGTTTCAAGATTGAGATTTTTGAAGCAAGCCTAATCTTTCTCAACTAATTTATTAAATTCTACATTTGTTGTCAAGAAGGTTTTGTTTGATGATGGTCCTTCATTATCTGACAGATGACAGTGGTTGAAGCTTATGTTGGTGGGGAGAAAATGGACTCTGCTAATAGCAGTTCACAGCTACCCACAACAATTGTTTCATTACTCACTGAAAGTATTGCTCAGAATACCAATGGCAGTGTTTTCACCCCTGTGGTATGTCTAACAGTCTTAACGTATCAGAGGCAGGGTATTTGACATTAGAGGCATGGTTATCATCTGTTTTCTGACATCTGTAGGGTGGGGAAGATGTTGAGGTTTCTGGCTCACCGACGGAGAAGGCCATCCTCCATTGGGGACTTAAGGTTTTCGATCTCAACTTAAATATGCTACATCTGCAACTCCTCCTGCCCTGAGCTTCATTTCAATAACCTTTTGTAGGTTAGATTCTGATGTTTAAACTGACTTTTATTGTTTTCTTGTTGGTAGCTTGGGATGAACTTTGAAGCGATCCGAATGGAGTCCTCAATAATTCATGTTTTTCCATTTAATTCTGAGAAGAAACGAGGGGGTGTCGCATTAAAGCTGGTAATCTGTTGATTCATCTTTTATCTGCCATGGCGATGTGCATGCTAATTTGTTTTTCTTGACATGTGTAAGGTAATAATACTTGTGCTTCTTTAGTCGCATGAAATAGTGTTAAAGGTTGCTTGAAAGGTATTACTAAATACTAATGCTTTTTAAAACAGAATCAGTCATTCAATTCAGAGAGAATACTGTTGTCTTCTGGCATGATGTGGCTGTAGCACAACCCACTATGACAGCTGCTTAAGTCAAGTATTAGTGACCTCCAGCTGAACTGGAAAAGCGACGTAAGCCACTAGAATTTGAAACAATAGATTCAAGTATGGGCAGACAACTAGAGGAGGCCAAGTTTTTCTCGATAGCTTGACTCATGCCTCTAATATGTCTTTGTATGACTAGGAGGCTTCCTGGTCAAGCATCCTCACTTTGGATAATCTGCAGAAGAGAGGGATGGTTCTGGTCAACAGATTTGTGGCCTTTGCAAGGAGGAAGCAATGACTGTGAATAACTTGTTTCTTCACTGTTCTTGTACAGTGAATTTTTGAACATCATCATCGTGATGACAGGGACCTATTGGGTCAATGCAGGAAGTTCTAAGTAGAGTTAAAGTCTTGTGAAAGCATTAGAGAAAGGATGAAACCCATCCATATCCTACCTTCACTATGTTTTGGTTAGTTCAGAGGGAGAGAAACCAGAGTCTGTAGTGCAGAGGGTGGAAAACCACATTTTACCATTGGCTTTTGCACTATGATATCAATTGCATCAACTCAACTATGAACTTCATAGTTGATGCAATTGATATTATAATGTTAGTGGATGCACTTGCATGTATGTGATTTTTGTGTGGGGAAGTAATTCCCTTCCATTTAAATGAAATGTTATTTTATTGATTGAAAATTGGAACTTGATTGTCATGAATCATTTATTGTCATGAATCATTTTAACAAGGTACCCAAGCAACTATGTCGAGATGAGAATATTTTGCATTCATTGATCACCAGTAGAAGTCCAATAACAATTATTGCCATAGCCCCAGAATCTTGTTTTACATCCAAAGAAGTCCCTCTGATCTTGTTGTACATTCTGCTAGCTTAATGGATGTAAATTAAGTTGAGAGTATTCCGAAAAAAGTTACTTCGCCTGCCCAATGATGAGAGCTGACTTTGTACTTCCAATGTGTGGAAGGTTCTCTTCCCAATCATGTCGCTGATCATTTTGTGTGTGCTGAAAGATTTTGTTCACTTTGGTTAACACTCTAGTCATTGAGATGGGTGTTTTTCCTTTTCTAATCATTACAAGTCCTGTTTAATGCTTCTGGTTGATAATTCTGTCTTCTCTTGTCCTTATTTTGCTTTGCTTAGATCTAACAGAGCTCAGGGTTCTCTTTGACCACCTCATGCCTTATATCTAGAAGAATGATTGCAATCTCTCTACATATTTCGCTTTAAGCCTTTTTCTCCTGTTATGTTCCGAGGATACTTTTCTGCAGAGTCAGAATGTTGCATCATGACATGGTTGCGCAGTTTAATGTACGATTAAGTGGTTTTACGATATATTGTATGCACAGACAAACTCGGAGGTTCATGTACACTGGAAAGGAGCTGCTGAAATAGTCTTGTCCTCATGTACCCGATACATGGATTTGAATGATCAGGTGGCTGCATTGGATGAAATAAAGGTATGTGACATTAAGCCTTTATGCCATGGATGTCTTTCAGCATTTGTTGAATAATAACTGCTGTTTCCCTGTTTGCATACTTTAACTAGACACACACGCTGACTTGTGTGTTGCATAGGATCCTTACTTTTGACTACTAATAATCCAATCTTGGTGTTGAGGTATAATTAGTGATGTTAGGAATTAGCTGTTAGGTTAGTATTATACAAGGCAATTAGGGTTTTGTGACGTCTCTGAATGCTCTATAAATAGAAGCTCTTATGTAATGTTTCAGCCACCATTTAGTGAAGATGTAGTCTTTACTCTTTAGAGTATTCTCTCTCCTCTCTTGTGGTTCCTAGAAAGGTGCATGGTATCAGAGCTAGGCAAGAGTGAGAAGATTCCAACCAGATCCTAAATCCTTTGCTAGCCAAACACAATGGAAGAAATAATTACCCTAGTTTCTCTTCTCAGTAATCAATACCACTTCAATCCTTGTTGGTTTCTTTATCATAAGTCCTGCTAGAGCGTGATCAGTCATGTTGAGTTCAGCCTGGGGGGACAACCCCTGTTGTCAATGAGCTCCTCTGTCATCCTTTAATCATTGTTCAGTACCATAATTATAGCTTCAGCCTCGAGTTTCCTGGTCCATGGTTTTATTCTCAATTTCTTGACATCCTCCCTCGAGTTCCTTTTTGCTTGTCGTAGGGTCCTCACTGTTCAATTGTTATTCCTTGTCACCTTCATGTTGATAGTCTCCACAGACCTTTTGTTGTTGGGTCATCTCATCAGATCTTGTAGCTGGTATTTTTTCTGCTGGTGACATCTGTCACAGTCGTCACAAGTCAAACTCTGGTCTTGTCTTTCTGTTCGTCTCCTTGTCTGCCTCGCTGCAATGTCTGTCAGCTGCTCGCTGGCAATGTTTTTCTGTTGCTGTCTCGGTTGGCCTCTCACCGTTCACTGCTGTTGCCTTCGCCTTTGTTGTGAATAATTGCCATGTCTAGCGTTTCTCCGTGGTTGGCTGCTTCATCAATCTCAATTACTGTTCGTCCAGTCCTGACCATCAGTCTCAGATGAGCTGTGTTGCGGTTGTCTATTATTGAGCATGTCCGTCATGATCGTATCTTTGAGCTATCCGAGGTTGCCATTGATCCTCTCCTCTATCGGTGTCTTGTCTCTCTATCCTCTGAGTCACTAGTCTGAGCATATTGTCTGATGGTAGGGTTAACTACTCTCTAACCTTCATCTTCGCAATCCTGCTCCATTCCCCCCATCCCCTAAAAAATAAGTTGCAATGTTTCCTCTACGAGAATTGATCTTCAGTAAAGTCCCCCAATTTTGTTTTGTGGCTCTGAACAATGGCTACTGTGGACCTTATCCAATCTGAGACTCCACGTCTATTTTCAGCATTATTGAACGAGTGAAGTTGCCGTCAAGTTTCTACTTTCTAGGCAACCTTGAGGGTGGGAGTCAAACAGACCATTGTGCTGCTAGAGTCGATGCTATGTCGTTTTATTTGCTAGATTTCATGGTATCAAGTTCTCACAATGCTAGCAGGGTTATCAGAAATTATAGGGTGTCGGCTTTTGTTCGTCTGGTGTTCCCTTAGCTAAAATTCAGTTCTAATGTTGGTAATATGCAGTTTATCATGTAAGATCCGGCTTACACCCTTTCTTTGTTAAATCCAGTATGATCTGACCACATCTAGTGATCTACATAAGGTTTGCATACATAATTTGTTGTCAAAGAGCGAAACCCTACAAAAGAAGAATGTTGCACCTATTATTATTGTTGTTTGTGCTGGGCACTTTTTGTCTTTTTAGTGGCAAGCTGGATGTGCTCAGGTTGCTCGAGAGTGTTGCATCGTAATTAGCGATGTTAGGAATTAGTTGTTAATTATCATTAAATAAGGTTATTAGGGTTTGGTGTGTCTCTCAATGCATTAGAAATAGAGCTCTCATGTGATTTTACAGTAAGCCATTAGTTAAAATGTAGTCCCTTGTTTATTTCTCTCTCCTTCTCTCTTGTGATCCTAAAACTTTTACACCTAGGAATAATAAGAAATGATGTTTTTTAAATAAGCAATTAATAGATCTAGTGCATAATCATGTTACAGTGACAACTTGAGATCATTTACTTTTCCATAGAACAATGATTCTAATAATAAAAGCCATTCAAAATACCTAATTTTCTAAGTACAGTACTGGTAGACATAAGCATGTTTGATGTGAAGAATTGTAGTGCTTGTACATATGATTATAGAAGAAAAGTTGATATGAGCAAAAGACAGTGGCCAACTTAGGAAATTATCCAATTGTATGTACTTGGAAGACCTATGAGACTACTCACTATCAATAGAGACAGATTTCCTTAGACATGTAAAACAAATGCCTGTGCAACGTCTTATCAGATATTATAATTTTCGTTGTATAAATAGAGGATTAAGGATGCGTGGATTCCAATATTAGCTAAACTGCTAGTTCTATTTGACGTCTGCATGATATCCACCATAGAGTGGATGAACTGTAAGAAAAGGCGACTGTCTCAATGGAAGACGTTCTTCTACTCTGCTTCATATGGTAATGTCCCAAACCACAGTGTTACTGGGATGCTGGTTGCTACAACACCTACTTGAAGAGCATAGATGCTTAAACATATGATTTTTCAGCTCTAACCTCAGGACTTGATTTAGCATTGCATAATTCTACCACAAGAAGAGGAGTTGCTGACTTTTAAGGAAACACACCTTAATCTTCTTTTACAGATATCTCGGGATCATTTTAGAATTCCAACATAGAAAGAACATAATAAAACAAACTAACTCAGCAAGTTATCTATATTATAGAAGCAAATGGCATTAGTTTACGGTTATATGCATCAAGCAATGTATTTCACAAAGATTATAACTCTTTAACTGTAATTTTCCTGTTCTCTATTTTCTGTATGAGCAGTTCTGATGTAGGATGACAAGTCCTTAAACAAAAAAATAAATCTTTAGGCATCACATTTAAAGCTTCCTTAACTTCACCCTAAGGGTTTCTTAAGCATCACATCTGAGAGAAGGAATTGCGGTCACACAATCCCAGAACAATGTCAACTCTAATAAAAAGAAAGCTTACAACCTTGTAAATAGGAATCTCAAAACAAGAGACATAATCAAAATAGGAAACCCCTATAAATAGTGTATATAATATCCTTCTTAAAATAAGAAAAGGAATCTTGCCAAATTCCTATTTAACTAAGTAAAGAACTCTAGTTATTATCTAGCTATGAACTCTGATCTACTTCCGAAGATATTCAACAGTCTACCAATCATGCTGCATCATCTCTCCCCATGTCGAGTTTGCTTGCAGCTGTACATGCAAGCCCGATATCTCTTCGAGTCATCTGTTCACTTCTATTTTCAGCAAGCTTTCTGAATTCAGCACGCACCTTCACCAACAGCTGCCTGCTTGAACAATCGTTTCTCCTGGTATTTGTTGACCTCAAATGAACTCATTGGTCTTAAAATGACAACTTTGTTTCTAAAAGGGAAACTGTATGTATTTTTCGTTCCACTATGATTCATGTTTCGACCATAAGGCCAAGGTTGACCAAGAAGAATATGTGCAACTTGCATAGGATCACAAAGTATAGAGTCACTATAAGCTCCACGCTTACAGGAAAGAAGGCACTGTTGCATCACAGGTATAGTAGTGTTGTCAATCCAAGCCACTTTGTATGACTGTGGATGTGACGTAGTTGGAAGTTTGAGGCGTTCTATCTGGTGGCTGAGACCACATTCCTGCAACTTCCGCCATATGCGATGACTTTTTAGCTTGATTGCTGCACTTAATGAACGTGTGAAAGATGGAAGTTCTTTCTCCACTTTATGAGCTATAAGTATACATCGAACAATAGAGGGGAAAGAATTATCCACAACTTCGTGATCTTCCAAATCTTCAGCCTCATAAGTACAGTAATTGAATGAGTTTTCCTCTTCCTTGTGTCATGGTTTTGAGGTTTCCATGCGCCAAGGACTGTGTCCGATCAAGAAAGAATGGGCCAAATTTTCTAGAGCTTCCGGAACGCTCTTAGGGATGGGCGATACGGTAAATGTACCGACTTCTAGAGAATTCTCGGCATAAATGCTGCTAGTTGTTGGATGGGGCGATGAGATCTCCTCCACTAGATCAAAAGAGCATCAATGGTTGTAATCTAAGGGCCTCTAGTATAAGAAGGGGTGCCCTCCCACTCATTTGTATCCATCCGACAATTGTAGCAATACAATTCCATTCTCTCCCAGAGCTTCTCTCTCTAGGCCTTCTCTCTCTACAATCCGGGTAAGCGAGTGAGCGATCGATCCCTCATGAAAAGGCTTGGCTTAGGCGCGCCAACGATCCAAGGAAGCCTAATTCGATGCACGGGTCCGATCCCAAACAACCGACCCGTGACATTGGCCTTCATGTTCATCTTCTTCGTCTTCAACTTTCCCAGGATGCAAATTATTTTCTCTTTGACATTGACAGCTCATGTGCCCAATTCTCCACACTTGAAATAAGTCTTGCTGCTCTTTCCACTTTGATTATTGAGAGCTGAATTTCTGTTGATGCTTGAAGAAGCAAATTTTGGAACTGTTAGCAGGATTAAAGAGTGGGGAAAAGCTGACTTTGTCTCCTGACAATCACTGTTAACTGACTTTGAGATGGGCTCCCCAACTTAGATTTTATTCTTCTCTGGAATAGAATAATTCATGTATTCCTTAACATCAAGTGCAGCTTGGAATGCATGTCCCATACTTTAAGAGGCTGTCCAAGCGATCCCCGTTGAAAATCAGGCCTTAGACCAGCCTTAAATTGAGACATTGATTGACTTGCATCTTCAATTACTTGGTTGCGAATTCATCCAACTTTTGCACATACTCAGCCACCAGCAAACAATTTTGCTTCAAAGATTTTGACTCTTTTGCGCATCTGCTCAACTCTCTTTATCTTTGCTTTCGTCTATTGCCAAGTGCTGATAGGTGGTTACCACAATATACTTATATCAACCTCAATGCCCTGCCACCATTTTTTAGCCAAGCCAACAAAAGCTTTATCTTTGCAAATTGGACCTTGTGAGCATCTGTCCTGTCATACCAGTCGAAGTACTCATCCATAGATTTTATCCAATCAGACAACGCCATAGGATCTACTTTTTCGTCAACATCAGGAAATTTGATGTTGATATTCTTGGTAATATCTCCAGTGATATCATATCGCTTTAATACTTTCTTCTCAAATTCTGGTGGTTTTGCTGCCACTTGAAGATTTCATGTTGCATCCACGTTTGGCTTTTGAGGAGGGGTCTTACAAATTGCTTCTTCTATGGGCCGCTTCTCTAGGACAGCAAACAACTTATTTATTTGCTCAGCCGGTTCATTAATCTTTATGCCAAGCATACAACTCAGATGTCAACTCGCCAACTTTGGAATTCAACTAAATGTTGGTCACCATTGTGGGAGAAAGTCTAGGAACTTTCACTCTGATACCAAAGTGCTGGAGGACGAAGAGTCCCACTAAAAGAATAATCTCTAGGCTTCACATCCTAAGCATCACACCTAAGAGACTGGCATTGCACAATCCCAAAGTAAATACTTGCAAAATTCAATAATTGATCAACTCAATAAAAAAAAAGAATAACCCTAAATATAGACTCTCTAAAAAAGTTCTACTCCTAGTTGAATTAGAAAATCTCCAGACAAGAAGCATAATCGAAATAGGAAACCTTAAAAAAAAGGAAATATAATATCCTACTTAAAATAAGAAAAGGAAACTTGCCAAACTCTTAAATTAACTAGCTAAAGAACTCTAGTTACTATCTAGCTATGAAATCCTATCTTAACAATGTGTCCAAAGGTATTTTAACAGTCTATCAATCATGCTGCATCAACTTTCCTTCTCTCAGATTTTCACTTTTGGAATCTTCAATGCCATTTTCTAATTGAAATTTCTATAGCTAGTTAAAAGTGTTATTGAGCTCGAATCTGATTATGATTATGATCGTTTATGAGAGTTGCTGCACTGGTTTCGATGAATTCTCTTTCCTTTTTCCCCTCACTATTTTGATGGTAGTATGTTAAGTCTTCTAGAAGTAGGGTGCCTTTGCGTACCCAAACGATGATAGTACTCTTAATTAGATAATTTCTACCTGCTGATTGGAAACCATTACATTAAATTAACTGCATGCACAAGTTTAATTGTGCTTCTCACTGATGTTGTTAATGATTGTCAGTGTATGTCGTCTTTCTGATACTTTACATGATTTATCATTTCCTGATCATAACCCCTGGTTGTAGGTGATGCTTTTTAAGAAGGCTATTGAAGATATGGCTGCTAGTAGTCTACGCTGTGTTGCCATTGCATATAGGACCTATGACTTGAAAGACATTCCAACTGACGAAGAACAATTAACTGAGTGGGCACTGCCCGAGGATGAGCTTATTTTACTGGCTATTGTTGGCTTGAAGGTATGTATACTTCAGTTGAGTTTCCTTAATTTTTCATTTAGATATTTTCTTTGAGACATTTGCATGAAATGCTTTTATGAAACTGTTCTCTGTTTTAGACAAATATCATGGAAAATGATTTTGATAGCTATTACAGCGTGCAAATTTAATGGTTATTGATCATGAGAATGTTCTCTGATCTAAACATATATCATGGAAAATGATATTTATAGCAATTATAGTGCGCAATGAATTAGTGGTTATCATTGTCGTCGTCACCGGTGTCATCATCATCGTCATATTACTTTTCCCTTGCATCTTTGAGTATGTCCTTTCACCTTAGATTCAATTTTGTGTTGCAATATGTAACACTTTCACCACGCTTTGATTGCCTTTGTTGAAAGACTCCGCTATTCCATCATTAAATAGATGCTTATAGCTTCAGTTCATAAATTAGGCGGAGATTCTGGTTCACACGGGCACTCATGATGAATGATGGTGACTTGGCATTGTAACTGATACTAAACGGGGAACATCCCAAGGCTACTATTTTTCAATTAGTGATTCTTCATATAAAACAAACTCATGACAAGAAGTCTTGCATATAAATGATTTGAGTTTTTTCCTGCTTTTTGACAGTTTCAACAACAGAACGATAACTTCTGTTTTTTGTTTGTTTTTCACTGCATTTTGCAGGATCCATGTCGACCTGGTGTAAAAAATGCTGTACGATTATGCCAAAAAGCTGGTGTTAAAGTACATTCTTTTCTCATTTAGAATTTTAGATTTGTGTCATGTTTGAGTTTTTCTTGGATGGACATTCATAGTTTTGTTAGATCTAGACTTCTATGAAGACCGAGATATCGTGTTATGGATAAATGTGATATGTTTGTTATATAACTATAGCACATGAATTTCCTCTCAGATTATGCAACTTTGCATTTGTGAAAACGAAAATCTCCACCCCCACAACACCACCCCCCCCCCCCCCCCTTCTTTCAAAATCCCTCCTCCCTCTCTACCCTTCCAATTGCGGTGTAAAATGTTCTCATTCATATTTGTTTCCAATGTATTATCTTGGTATTTCCACCTTGATAGCCAAGTCTTTATATTGTCAGACGGATAAGAGGTGCGGAATATTCCTTTTGGATTCTTTAATATAAGAATTTTGTGTCCATTTCCAAATACTGTGACTTGCCAAGTTGACCACATGGACCATTTTGGTTTGCTTGACCGATATGTGGGATGTAATGGTTGCTCATACTAATCTAATAAAGCAGTTTGCTTTGTCATTTTCATTGGTGACAGACCATGAAGGTGATTGTCAATGCCCCACTAAATCCTCCTAAAACCAAGCTTGGCCTATTGCCATGGCTATGTTTGGGCATTATCCTGCAGTCTCAAAATATTTTTTTATAATGTGACTCATGTGGATACTTTGTGTTGTCCTCTATATTAGGGGAAACAGGTGGAGTATTGCTATGCATAAAAAATAATTTTCTTTATTCCCTTGGATTGCTCCATCTTACCCTGTCAAGCTTTTTTTTTTTTTTTTAAACACTTCTTATTCATCTTAATGCTAGAAATTATGCAAATTAGATACACCTATATCCACAAAGCATCCTTCCTAAGTCTAGAAGATGGCTGGAAAAATTGGGTCATCTAATTTTTCTTTTTTGTAAAATGTATCCTCTTTCTTGATGCATAGGTACGCATGGTTACAGGCGACAATCTTCAAACTGCTAAAGCAATAGCTTTGGAATGTGGGATATTAGGTTCTGATGCAGATGCTACTGAGCCTAATCTCATTGAAGGAAAAGACTTTCGTGCCTTATCTGATTTTGAAAGGGAAGAAACTGCAGAAAAGATTTCCGTATGTTCTGATTAATTAGTTTTCCGTTGTTTTCCCCTCTTCTGGTGTAGAATGAAATTGATAATGCCTTTGCATATGTAGGTGATGGGACGATCCTCGCCTAATGACAAGCTTCTGCTTGTGCAAGCTCTGAAGAAACGAGGACATGTAGTTGCCGTCACTGGAGATGGCACAAATGATGCTCCTGCTTTACATGAGGTTCGTTTTTAATTTTTTTATGGGAAGTTTTGGATCTACTCATGTATACGATTATGCTGGCAGCCACATTTGCATTGTTGGCCACCTTGATGAATTTAAAGACATGACCCTGCTCACCTATCCATGGACTCCTAAATACTCTAGTTGACAGGTGGACAGTCAAGAGTAACTGTGGTGCAATAAATGTTATCAAATTGGTTTGTTCACCTTGTTCTGATCTTGATGTCTTATGGTATCGTTATCATTAAAACATTACGTATATTCTACATTTCCTGTTTGTGGTGTGATATTCATAGATTGGATACATTTTCTCTCTGATATTGTTGTTGGGATGTAAACTTTTTATGGTGTTTAGGCAGATATTGGCCTTGCAATGGGTATTCAAGGGACGGAAGTTGCTAAGGAGAGCTCTGATATCATTATCTTGGATGATGATTTTGCCTCTGTTGTGAAGGTTAGTACTTGCCAACCATGATTGGCTTATGATCTTGTATCTCACCGACAGAAAGTGATGTTCCTGGAAATTTTCAATCTTATTTACTCTCACAGCATTGGGAAAAGTAGTTTCTAGATAATTTCTGGTCAAATACGGAGATGAACGTTGTTATCCTTCTTCCACCAACTAAGGTTCAACCTTATACTGATCTTTTAGAGATTTCTTAATCTCTTGTAATTGAAAAATCGGATGACGTGTGAGACTTAGATATGTGCTGAACTGCATGAGCTGTGATGTAAGATTGCTCCTCTTTGGTCATGATTTTCCATGTGTTGCGTCTTTTGCTTTTCTTTTTTGTTTGAGTGCTTATTTTTTGGCAGCATGCATATTAATACATGGCTGTAAAATGGGGCATGCGGTTGAATATGATGGCTTATAGGGTGGAAGGAGGATGAAGAGAATGATATTGTTGTTATCATGCTGTTAGTTTTTCTCTTGTTCGTAATTTTGAGTTATATCTTGTCGACAACCCTGTTGATGCAAAAGAAGTTTAAAGGGAGTTCCTTATATGTTTAAGTTCTAAGAGCTTGAAGTTCTTGAAATAATCTTCAGTTATTATGTACACCATGCAGGTTGTCAGGTGGGGACGATCTGTATATGCAAATATCCAGAAATTTATCCAGTTCCAGCTTACAGTTAATGTTGCAGCTCTTGTGATAAATGTCGTTGCTGCTGTTTCCTCCGGTGATGTTCCATTAAATGCAGTGCAGGTTTGATTCCCCCTCTCTTATCTGTCAGAGATTGTTTGATTAATTCCTACACCTATTTGTCTCCGTATGACTCCTATGCTTGGCCGGCTTCCACTTTGGGCAGCTTCTCTGGGTTAATCTCATCATGGACACTCTTGGAGCACTGGCTTTGGCCACAGAGCCCCCTACAGATCACCTGATGGATAGGACACCTGTTGGTCGGAGGTAAGGATTTATTGGTGGTAGCAGATATTTCAGCTGTTGAGCTTTGTGTGTGTGTGTGTGTGTGTTGGGGGGGGGGTGGTCTATCTTCATTTTCCTTTTCTGAATGTTGCACTTGGCTCATCCATTTATACATTTCATGGGAAGATGTATGATGCATCTGGTTGTATCTTTTATGACCAGAGAACCTCTCATAACCAATATTATGTGGCGGAACTTGCTGATACAGGTAAAGATCAATGTTATTTCTCTGTGCTGAATTCATCTATTGTTTGCCAAAAGTTATAAATGTAAATTTTGTATTTCAGGCTGTTTATCAAGTTTGTGTCCTGCTTGTTCTTACTTTTCGAGGAAGGAGCCTGCTAAATCTAAAGAATGATCATGCAAACAAAGTGAAAAATACTTTGATCTTCAATGCATTTGTCCTTTGCCAAGTAAGTGTCATTCTTTGAGTCAATTTAATGGTGGGATGAAATGTGTGCATGAGTGGTTATTCCATTTTGACACTTGTCTTTTACTTTTTTTCAGATGTGAATGGTGTAGACAGTTATAAAAACTTCCCTTAAAAATGCTACTCTTATTCAGAGCTGAATTGTGCTTTTCTTTACTGTCTCATTTGGTGCATCCCAGTGCTGAGACTAGATAGCAAATAGCATGCCCTACTGCGTCATCATGAAAATGGATCGTCTGACATATGATTTTAAATTGAAACAGTGGATGCCCTTGTTCTCTTTTGTAATTAGGGTGTTGTGAGTTTCAGAATAGGGAGATGCATATCTCTGCTTCCTCAAGATGATTTGTTTCATTCTCAAGTTTTTACGACGGGGTTGTCTAGTGACCCATATTAACATTCTTTTAGAACATGTTGGACAGGGCTTAGTGATCTGCTCCCATTGCTTGAAATGAGGGTGATAAATTTTTTACCTTGAACATCTGACAAATGGCATATCATTTGAACTGCAGATTTTCAACGAATTTAATGCTCGGAAACCAGATGAATTAAATGTGTTCGAAGGAATCACCAGAAACCACCTCTTCATGGGAATAGTGGGTCTAACACTTGTTCTTCAGGTCAGTCGTGCTTCTTCTTATTGGGTGTGTTTGGTGTTCCTCTGTAATCCTCCATGATCCAAGTTTTCTCTCTGTATTCCTTCAGGTCATTATAGTGGAGTTTCTTGGAACATTTACTTCAACAGTAAAGCTTAATTGGAAGCAGTGGCTCATATCGATCATTATTGCTCTCATCAGGTTAACTGACATAGATTTCAACAACTTATATGGTGAAAAAATCGTCGGTTTCCTCTTTCTATTCTGTCCATGGCTGGGTGTACCTCTTCCTTTGTCCAAAATTCTTGTCGTTCTTTTTGATGAACTGATTCTGTGTGTTTGATTCCTGAATAGTGACAGATTTTTCTCTTGCCTTTCTTTTCCTGGCTGGGTTAGTACCAAGCTTGAAGTGTTGTGAATTTTCTGAGTCAATATCCTCAGGGCTGGTCCTGACTGATTTTATTTGCTCGATGATGGAATTTCTTTTTCCTTTTAATTTTTTGTGTTGTGTTTTTTAGAGCAAACCTTGCTCAATTGATGAACATAGGTCAGAGAGTAAGTAATCTTTGGTCATCCCATCTAGCGCTAACATGTTGTTTGCTTCTCCTTTTTTGTACTTGTTTGTAATCAGTTGGCCTCTCGCCATTGTTGGGAAACTGATACCTGTCCCAACGACTCCCCTGAGTGACTATTTTCACAGGATAGTATGCTGTTGTAGACGTTCCTGAGGTATGTTGGTTTAGAATTGGTCATGGAGTCTTGTGTTTACTTTTTCTTCTGAGCTTGTGTAAGATTGTGACGTTTTGCTCTTCAGGTTAGCTCATGGATGGCAAGGAACATATAGAGCTGCTACGGGACTGTAAATTAGCAAGCAGGTATTATCTGCGTCATTTCCCTTTCAGCCATACTTCCTTGTAAAGGACGAACTTCCGAATCTCAGAAAATTTGGCTCCATTTTGACCAAATAGTTAATATTGTGAGGTTTAAAGCTTTCAAATCCACTATTTTACTTATGGTCGTGTTCAGAACTTCACAAATTTTGAAGCCCAAGTTGAGGCAGTAGTTCATTCTGAAGGATGAATTTCGTATTTTAAGAAAGTTTGGCTCCTTTTGGTCAAATGCTTGACATTGTAAGGTTTGGATCTTTTGAATCATCTTATTGTGGATCTCATGAATCAGAAAGTTTAAAGGTACTGAGAATGACCGCGTAATGAGATAACATATATGTCTCGTATTTCATTAATCTTTACCACTGCCCCCTCATGGTGGCAGAGCTAGGTTTGTCATATCAGAATAAGCTTATATAGCTATGAGCTTGTAATACGTTAGTGGTAAGATGAAGGAATCATTTACTTTATGGCTGGAATTTAAGAAGCCAGTATTGCAGAACCTATTTCATTAGATGTTCCAATTCCCTTCCGAAGATCCACTTCCTCTAAGATTAATTGTTATTTTGAGGTCTTTACCTCAATGAAGATAATATCTCCCATACTCCCTTTTAAATCCTCATTCTATTTTTGCTAAGCCTACTTAATTTTCCCTAATCAACTCCAAGAAATTCATAAACCATGCACCAAAGAGGTATTAAAGAGTACCACGAGTCTACGCGGTTTGACCAACAACTCATTCCAGCAACCCAACAAGAACAAATTTGTGACTCCAAATTCCTCTTGTATTTTTAAATGACAGTGGATTCCGCAGGGGTACAACCATCTCCACTTGGGGGCTATTCGTTTTGCTTTATCATTCCATGGCGAAAAGGCTTACCAGTGGCAGCTCGCATGGCCTCCCCTTTGATACGTGGTTTATTGACTACCAGTATGCATGTATTGGGATAATCGAAACCACTCTAAATGCAGGAATTGCATTTGTCACATTCGTCCCCAACTTTAACATGGCCTTAGTAAATCCAAGACTACTAATGCATTAGAAGTCCAGCTACAAGTTATTGAAGCTCCCTCGACTCTTGACGCGATTTCTGTCGCGCTTCTCTACCAAGACTGTAGATGCCATCCACCTAATCCTGACTGAAGCTGAAGAGACACTGCTAGTTTCAATTGACAAAAACCAGACAAATGCGTGTTCATGCACCAAGACAAACGCTCCCAGTCACAACTAGCTGAGTTACTCCCAATCACATGGGTAACTAATTATGAAAAACTCCATTAGAATGTTTGTTCCACCTAGTTTTCCAAATCAAAATTCCCCAAGAAAAAAGATAGCGACATGCAAATAAGTTTTGAATTTTCAAAAGAAAAATAGGAAACCTCCCCCTCTATTTTTCCTGCTATCCTCAGGATGCTGCCACACCAGCTGGAGCATATGATGTGGAGGAAAACGATTAGAGACAGCATTGCTCAACTTAGATGGACATTCTATTCTCTACTTCAAAAGATTCTCATACTGGACACTGCTTTGTGATTCGGACTGCCAGTGTAAAAGTTGTCGAGCTCCTCCCAAAGAGGAAGACAATAGGCCATCCAGAAAAAAGAAGAAGAATTGCTCATCTGAACACGAGTTCTTCAGAAGATGAAGGATGGTGATCCAACCATTAGGCCACTTGGTGATGAAACCGGTACCTGGTATCTTACTCTACTTTCAAACATTATACACCTCCTGAACCTTCCCCGCCTCCATCCCCCAAACCCAAGCAAAGCTTCACCAAAGGCTAAACCATCTCCTCCTAAACCAATACTTCCGTGCTATAAACCCTGTTTTAATTGGATAAATAAGCACTCCTTGTTAAGCAAAACCTAGGCTTTATCCCCACCGCCCCGGCAGTTCTTCCTCCAGTGTTGTCCACTTATGCTACTGAGTCTATGTCTCCCCTGTTTCAACTCTTCCAGGCACATACCTGTTGGCACCCATCTTATTTTCCTCCATTAGGAGAATCTACCCAAGTTCCTACTACAGAAGAGTACGCCAAATATAAGCATATTCCCAAAGTGCCAAATCCAATTGAAATTAATGAGTCAGGAAAGATAAAGAAAATAACTACTGCAGAAGCCGTCCTGAACTAGCAAACTGAAAACACTCTTGCTCAAGACATATTGCTCAAGCCTCTCGACTCGACTGTCAATTGTCCAGATAAGACTTGACATGTTGACTTGAAGGTTAACAAAGCAGCAGCAGCCATGCAAGAGTTCCTGAGAACATTGCAAAAAAGGCTCAAAGAGATAGAGGTTGGAGTCACACCTTGCCATTATCTGTATACCCATCTAGTGAGAGAAGTTGAAGAAGCAAAACAAATCTCTTCAGGAAAAGAAATTTGTTCCACCTACACCTTTTGCATCAATACTCTTTCCCTTTTAGAGAATCTGGAACCAGTTTCCCGCCTAAAACATCGTCTATCCTCTCAAACCTATGAGAAGAAGACCCTATGTCTAGCACTCGCCCGGATATCTTTACTCTTTGAGACAGAGTGAGAAATGAAATGAAAGGAGAAAATTAAGGAAGGAAAGCAAATTGCTCTGGGCTTTCCAAATCCTCCAACAAAACCTCCTACCTCATTAATAATTTTGAACCCTATCGAGTCATTTTTAAGGGATAGGCATCACCATACTTTGCCAACCATTGCCACCCTGGATTTGGCAACTTCATCTGATGAGTCCGGCGCTGATCAAGAATCTGACCACAAATCTAATACTGAACCATCATCAGAAGACCTTTTTGACAGCTCACGAGAGTTAACAATCCCCATTTCCCAAAGGAATCTCTTCCCTTGAATTTCATCTTGGTGGGAGACTGAGACGATGAAGAAGATACGGGATCAACTACCTCTGAACATAGAAGAACCAGGGGAAATCAGAGTTAATCCCATAATTCTGCTACTGCCAAAATGAGCTTTACATTGGATGATCTCCCAAATCACAAATGGCCAGACAAATCTTCAAGAATTTTTTATTTGGCTTACCACCAGGGCCTTAACTGTGGAAAGTCAGTATGATATTCTTAAGAATTTGTCTTCAGATTCACCGAAAGTCTTCGAGACTGGTGGAAGTCTATTCCTGAATATGACCAAATGACATTTTTGGTCCAGCAAGACTTCAACCGCATCATTTAAATCCTCCACCTATATTTTACTAAATATCCAGAAGACCACAAAGAACTTGAGAGGAGAGAGTTCTTTGAAAGAAAATGTTATTAGTAAACATTTCAAGGAAATATTAAAGCTGCTCTACGCTCTAGGACCCGAATGGATCCTCAAATTAGTTTCTCTGTCATCCTTTCCTAAGCAATTAGGCACAGCAGTCGAAAGATCCTTCCATAGCAAGAAAAGAGTTTGAGGCGTAGAAAGGCAATCAAAGACTACTTGCATGATAATAGGGATTTTGAGAAAGTTTTCTAAACAACTGGCCTGGCATCATGGTTCTCGTAAGGAATCTTCTTGCGATGCCGCAACAAGAAGAAAAGGCACCTCAGGAAGTTCTAGCATAAAAAACCCCGGAAAAAAAAAGGACAATAGAAATTCCTACGCAAAAGGCAAATGGAAAACAGACAGATGTTTCATTTGTAATCGCAAAGGCCATTTTACATAAAGATGCCCGCATGCTAAAAGAAGGGGCATGCACATGCTTGAAGCTATAAAGAAGGAAAATGGAGCATCTCCCTCCAAGAAGATGACCTCGAATAAGGCTTCTTCCTTGAAGATGTGCCCTCTTCAAAGGCCATTTGCAAAAGTGTTAATACAACGAAAAACCTTAAGCTGGTACACCTTACAAATTTTTCTCAAACTCATTTTTTGACACAAAAAATCTTAAACTAGTACACTTGTGATAATTTACTATCATTTAGTTTCTGTTAAATTTTATCGTCAAATTTCTAAGTTGGATGACACGTGATGATTGACGAGTGTATCAGTTTGGGATTTTACCCTCCATTTGTCACAGGTGTACCAATTTGTGATTTTTCGTGGTATTAATCCAATTTAACGGAGGAAAAATTTGTCACAAATGTACCAGTTTTGGATTTTTTGTGGTAAAAAAATTAGTTTATGGTAAAATTATCACATGTATGCCAATTTAGTGTTTTTGGTGGTCAAAAAATTAATTTTGGGTAAATTTGCCATAGATATACCAATTTGGGATTTTTTTTTGTATTAACTCTTTTCAAAATATAAAATGTTTCACTATCCAGTGACACTGACTAGTTGATGACCCCTGATGATCGAATCTTTTCTTCTCTCAAGAATCAAAAACCCCAAAAATTCAAATCATCTGCCAGTTTTCACATGTTCTTGAACCTTATGTTCCCATCGACATCTTTTCCCTTCAAATATGATAAGCCAGTCTCTGTCATGGCTTTCATAGATACTAGAGCTAGTCTATCAATTCTTGATCCCAAGATCCATCCAGAAAACTTTTGGGAGCCATACACAAGTACTTTACAACAACTCCAGGAAAGACGTTTCCCATCCGCATAAGAAGTAAACTCATCAGAATCCAATTCTTTCCTCAGCGTTCGATCACTATAAAAATCGCCGGTTTACCATCTGCCGACAGGGATATAAACATTGGTTGGGATCTCCCAACCAGACTTCCGAAGCTCAGAATTCCGTACAATCATTAGGTTCAACGAATTTGTTGACTTTAGAAGATTTTATCTCATTCAGCCAGACAAGCTTGACCCAACCATCCCGATTCTTTTAAGTGCTTGTGCTGATTCAGATTTTGAATTCTTGAGAAATGCCCCAATCCATTAGGAAGAACTTCGACTTCTTCATTCATTTTACTTTAAAAAAGAATGAAGATAGTAACCCAACAAAGCTAACCACTCTGGAATGAATCGTGAGCAAAAATAATTTGCTCAAAAGGAATGTCAAGATTTAGTCCAACAGGGACTGATTGAACCTTTGGATTATTAATGGACATGGAAGCGTTTTATATCAATAGAGGTGGGTAGACTAGAGGTGAGAAAAAATTGTTCATCAATTACCCGCCTCTTAACCAATTTTGATGCAGTAGTGCTGATCTTTTAGTCGAATAAAGAGAAATCCAAAAAATCCTCTATGAAAAGAGACACCATTCCAAAATCCATATAGCCTAGTGCTTACCAAGAGAAAGTTCCATGGTATTTGTCAGAGATATTTAGGATAATTCTGATGGTTTTTTGTATCTCTCAAGATTGTGCAAATATCTCTTTTTGCTTGCGCGTATCTTGATTGATATGTTATCTTATTTAGTTATTTAATAAAGCCTATAAATAGGCTGGTGTAGTC